AGCAGCTATCACGGTGGCAACGTCAGTTTTGACGAGGGTCTCAATGTCTTGGAGGGCAACAGTGTCTTGGGCGACTGAGGCCATGATTGGGGATGGAGAGTGGGTCTATGAAAGATATCGACGATGTCTCGGCCGCGAGATACTTTGAGCGCTGTGAATAGGCAGTTATCCTCCGGGATATATCAAGCAGACAAGGCGAATTCAAAGAGTAGAGAGAAGTAAGGTTGCAGTTTCTCAAGACACAGTCAAGGTGGACCGGCACAATTGGATATCAAGAAGGATTTCCAAAGCAATAGAAGAGGAGCAAATTTATACTTCCTTCTCTCATTCTTCTCAAATCAGCCCAACTAAAATTCTTTCAACAAGAGAGAAGCAGAGAATGCCTTTTCAATTCGCGCACCCCGCTCCCCTCACACAGCGTCCGGGGTGCGAGTGCGCCCTGCCATCCAGCCAGCAAATCACCAGCTCCAGAACCATCGCAGGCACCAAACCTCTAAGACAAAGACCAGGTCTTTTAGGTGGGGAAACCAAAGCCGCTACGCAATCCCTCGTATTAAGAGGAAACGCCAGAAAGCAGACACCCGTCACGCCGCAACGCATGAACAGCTTAAACGCTCGTGCAACATCTCACTCTGATGGACGCATGATTCAACTCCACAGGCAGACCTTTTTGGACGGCTCTCGTGATGGGACGCATGATCCAAGCCACGGGGGGTTTACCCTCATGGTGGTAAGGGGTACGTGCGGCGCATCTTCGCGACGCAGGATTGGTTGAAGTGTGCTCCCCGACTGCGACGGTGTTGGTCATAGCGCATGAGCGCGCTTAAGCAAATGGGGCATTTGATAGGGTGAAAGATGATTGCGGCGCCAAACATGATTGGAACTCCGCAAGACAGCCATTCGGGATGTAGCGAACCAAATCCAGGAGAAAAAAGTCTGATAGTAATTTACATTTCCTACCACATCGCCTCCGATATACATAGCATCCTCGTATGTACCAGGTAGAAATCGAGTTATCAGAGCTTAGACACTAGCAAATCAATATTCCCGTGTGTAGTCCCGGTATAATAAGGTGCTGTATAAGTGGTAAAAGGAAATTCATTCGTCTCTCGATCAGAAAAATTTTTCAAATACCAATCATTATGAAACAGCAATGAAGGGACTGGAGAAAGGGGCAATTGGATACTTCACCATAGGTACGCCATACAAGGACATTAATCGCTGATACAAAATAATGGATCAAAGCAAAAGTAAGCTAGAAGAAATAGGTATTGTATTCATGGCAACAAAATATGAAAGGGGAAGAATGTATACGGAAGACAGAGAGACAAATATCTTGAAGCTGAAGAATGGGCGATAATAAGAAGAGTATAATAAACGTTGAAACTGGAATCAAGGCAAAAAGAGGAGGAAAGGAAAAAGAAAAGAAGAGCAAAGAGACGAATTGCAAGCTTAAGATGGGACGAATTTGAGACCACTGATCATTATGATCTTCTGCTGTTCCAGGAGACGTCACTAGATGCAGCACGAAAATCACTCGAAAGAAAATTAAACGGAAAAAGGCGAATAGAGAAAACAGCGGGATCGATCGAACGATACAAACCAGTACACAGAAGTATTATAGAATCCTGATATCGCTTATTCCAAATGACCACCCGAGCCCGCTTGTAAAAGGCCAAAAAAAGCAAAGGAGAAAGGTGAGCCGAGAAAAAGGGGAAAAACAAAAAAGGATACCATAGAAAGAAACATAGGAAAGGACACTATGTTCAAGGAGCGAAGATGTGGGATAAGACTCCATAATTCAATCATATCATCCTCATTTCAAAATGCACGCAACCATTCCTTGTCTCATGTGGACCGAAAAGGTATGCAATAATGATATTCTTTACCAAGAGGACAAACTTAATATTATCTGTCCCCCCTTTGCCATCCATTGAGATACGCCATTATCCCAACTCCAAGTAACACAACGCCGATCATCGAAGCATAAGGAGCTGTCTGCTCAAACATACTTGGCTTCTGCCGTTGCTTTGCGAACGCGGTGGCTGCTCGTTCGAGCTCCTGTATGCGTGTGGCTGCTATAGGCCGACATCGCATTTCTAGCGCCTCGAGTGCGCTTGTATCAAGCGATTCGCTCTCTTTTCTAAATACTGGCTCGCAGGGAACATTGGAAGACGTGCCTTCTGGCTCGGTTTGCTTCTTTGCAACCTCATCAGCACGCTCGCGTCGAACCTGCTCAACCATCTCTGCAAGGGTCTTTCGGCTCCTCGCAGCCTCGACTTCGGCCTGTTCCGCTGAACGCTTATATTTGTCAACTTCCTTGCGCATTTCATCCATTTCGGAGATTAATGTATCAAGCCGCAACTGTAGCTCTTTTGCAGCCGAATCAGAAGCCGGCAGTTCGATAGACGATTCCGACACCTCTGATGCTTTCACCTGTTTCTCATCCAGAGGCTCAACAACAGTGGTCACAGACATATCGTCATCATCTTCGACGATCTGGGCCACTGATAGTGGTTCAACTGGTACAGAACGCTCGTTTTCAAGCTTTCGAGCACGCTCTTCCGCCGTCTCGCGAGCAATTCTCTCGTGGCGCAGCAGCTCTTCCAACTCTTTAACGCGAGTGCCTTGTAAATCTAGCTCCTTCTTTGCAGATGCAAGAGCTTCTATCAGCGACAATATCTGACTCGACTCGCGAACAGAGTTCGCAGGAGACCTCGCTTTCTCAGTGTCGCTACGTCTTATTGGCGATATAGCTTGGGAATGATTGGAACGCCCGGCCACATCGGGCTTCTCTGGTAAAGGTTGTTGCGGAGGAGGGGCAGGAGGGTCGGAAAATCGGGAGAATGAGTCGTTTCTATGCACCTTTGGCCGGCCATTAACTTGACGTCCGGCTGGAGGAGCATCGATGGGTGAGAGTTTAGTACGGTCCTTCTCTAAGCCGTCACGTGCGACAAGGTGCGTTATGAAATCATTTGTTTTGCCTAGGTCTTGTGTATGATACTTCGCTTGCTTCACTTCCGTCTACAGGAACGTCAGCTGAGCTTAACAGGTGAACTGAAGTAAGGGTATCGTTACCGTAAGTTTTTTTACTACTTGCTCAATGGATATCGGCGACAACCAGTAATTTATCTGCCTTTGCTGGTTCAATGCATTCAAGTGATTTCCATTAACCCCCTGGGAACTCCGAGAGCTTGCCGCCGATGATGTACTTCCTTGGCGGCCTCGCATATGGGTCAATGGCTGAGTAAGATGGTGAGGAAGTAGGCCACCTCCGGAGGTTGGGTCAATGTCGCCAAAATTCAAGTCCAAAACATTTATATTGGGTCCATAAACCCCGGCGTGTTCAACTTTTGCAGAAACTTTGTGGTGCACAATAGATTTCTGATCTTCGCTCACAATGTCAATACCCAACTCGAGTGTATCGTGCTCCCGCAGCTCATGGGGTACCGAGTCTGTGTTTTCAGGCGATAAACGTTGGCCATTGACAAAGGTGCCATTCGACGACTTAACGTCACGAATCCAGATCTTCCCTTGTCTATCGGCCCAAATTTCAGCGTGTTGTCTCGATAATACTTTTGAATCAAAATATCCGTTTACAGGAGACGGAACGGTTTTCGCGTTGGTTTGGCGCCCTATGCGCAACAGCTCTGGGAAATAAGGAACTGTAATCTGCTTTCTTTCAAAAGTGCCATTCAAAGGGATCAAGCTCAGAATCGCTGTCGGTTCGTTAGGGCTCGGTCGAGTTGCACCACGGATACCATTTTGCTGCGCAGAGGGGAGGCCATGTTGGGATGGTACAACAGGAGAAGGTTGATGTAAGGCTGACATTGCTGATGATGCTGCAGATCCGGTGGGTGGTGCAGACACAGGCTGGGTACGAGCATTCGTCACTCCAGAAACAGGTTCCGCCTTCGAACCGGACCAAACGTATCTGGATGGCTTTTTCCCTGGAGGTGCACTGTTCGATTCTGAGGTGGAATTTTGGTCACCATTACTGAGTTGCGAGCGCACGGTGGCGGTAGATGAAGAGGAAGTGGAAGATGAAATAGAGGAGGAAGAGCTTGTTCGCTGGATACCTCTCCGAGGCATGAACATCCGTGAAACCTCGTCTGCACTGGCAGAGGAAAAACCACCTTGTCCACTGTTACCAGCAGAATACCATCCTAAGCGTGGACCGGATTGGACACTAGGAGGAGAAGCCACAGCAGTCATGGGTAAGGTGAGAAAACGCTGGGGGATGCGATCAACGCGGAGGTGACGGTTGCCGAGTCGAGTAGTGCTTGCCAGACTATGCTCCTGCCAGAGTTAATTGCCTGGAGGATTGGCAAAACGATCAGAGCAATCAAGCAGCATATGTAAGTGAGGCAGAGGAACGTCAGAGAAGGAGGGTTTGCGGGTCTAGTTATGGTCAATGAAATTCTTGTTGTCAGTGACTTTGTTACCCCGTGAGAGCCAAGCTACTTCACCAATATTCACAAGTGCAGAGGAAAGCAGGTCTCAGGATGGTATTGGGCACTAACATTACTGTAATCTACCAGAACTAAATATCATCGAGAATAGGAGGCAATGGCCGTCTCATCAGCGAGATGAGTCGTGTGCCGTTTAGAAGATGGAGGGGGTGGGCAAAAGGCCAGCAAACAGCCACAAGAAGGTCGTAGAAAGGTGAGTCAGAGAAAAAGCGAGGGCTATCAATAAACAAGACAACGAGGAATAATAGCAACCTGGAAAACCACCCGTCGAGACTGTCCTTTGGCTATACCAGACAGAAGCGCTGGCTCGGGGCGAAGCGAGACGGAGTGAGAGAATTGCCAAAAACAGCCAAGAAAGGAATAGGGTCAACTGGCTCGTTCTTGGCGTCACGTGATAGCTTTGGACCACTCAGGTCTCACATAGCCACACCCTCCACCAGGCACTCACCACTAGCACCAAAGGCGGTAAAGCGCCGGCCGAGTTGCTGAGTCAGCTGCTCACCTGTTGCGGCTTGCTTCAAAGCTGCGATGAGAATGCGAGCAAGAGAGCAAGCAGCAGACGGTGCCGTTCAGCTTTGTCCAGCAATCCCAATTTCTGCGCTCTTGTGTGACAACAGGCTCCATTGTCCTGATATTCAAAATGCCTGCTGTAGCAGCTCCAACTGGAGGTGGAGGGATGCGTGGCCCGTCAACATTCGACAAGCGTCTGTGATCCCTTCCCGAAACCTACCTAGAGCTGGACTGACAATGCTTTATCAGTAAAAATGGGTGCCATGATGGGTGGCTGTATGTTTCTTTGAATCCCTTTCATAGCATTTCCTATGGCCTTTTCGTGATATTAATCCGTTTCCCTTTCCAGCCGTCGGTCTTATCATGGGCTTCATTATCGGTTAGTCGACCCTTCGATCTCTGCGTAGGCCGAGATTTTGCAGCTCACACTCAGCCAGGAACCGTCTCGATATTCCAGTATGGTGCCGGACCAAGTGGTATAATGCGGACTCTGGGCAAATATATGGCTGGTTCAGCCGCCACCTTTGGGTATGTATGGCAAATCCCGCGATGTACTCCCGGTCAATGCTGACCACGGTCTCTTTCCAACCAGGTTCTTCATGTCTATTGGAAGCGTGATCAGAACAGAAGGACCCCACGGTTCGTACCATGCCTGGGCAAGGGCTCACCGGCGGCCCATCATGCTCTCCACGGCCCAGAGTGCCTTCCGGACCCAGCGCGATTAAGTCGAAATCCTGCGGTGATGTACCATAAACAAGCAACCAGACAAAAGAGGCACCAGGGAACTTTCCTTTGTGCCGTGTTATACCATGATTTAATGATGCTGAAAGAATTTCTGTATTTTCTTTATTTCTCCTACCAAACCCCAGCTGTAAATAAATTTTTGCCTTTCACCTCCCATTTGTTTTCAATATCTTGAGGATGCAAGAGCACTGGAGCCTAGGCCAATCTCCATTAATCGGCGTTGATAGGGTTCCTTTTCTCCCCTTCTTAGCTTTTACCCAAATTTTGAAGGTCACATATATATCAGGGTTTCATCTGTTACATCTACTTTTGGCCCTACATCAATGAAAAAGCCAAGAAAATCAAAATCTATCTTTGCTGGAGTCATGAGATTGTGCATGGTACCCGTGGACAGGATCATCCAGATTCATCCTCTAGCACTAAGATAAAGGACAGCAGCTCAACTGCATATGTGGCTTAGCCCTAGTTGAAGGCAGTATTGTGGGCAAACATGGATGGACGGGTAGCAAAGTAATTGAATTGTGCTTGACTTGGGCCTGTCTGTCCTTGTTAAAAATGGGATTTTGATTGACAATCTGCTTGTGACAGATGGTGAGCCTATGCCCGGATCAAGAGTAGTACATGTTTTCGGTCCAAGTGTACTAACCACTGGTTCGCAGCACTGCATATAATTAATCCATAGAAGCCTTAACTAGTTGGTTAGTAAGAGAGTCTAGTATTTTTGCCAGTAGAGTCAGATTTGCTGTGTATCAACACGGGAAAGCACCTGTAGACCGCCAGTTCGGAAAGGGGTATGCTCTAGTGGCTAGAGGGTCGTAACTGCTGCCAGTCCCTCAATTTTGAGGCACACACACATTTGACCAACTTGATGCTGAGGTTGGTCACATAGATAACTGGGTTATTTTGGGTGTGTGGTTCTTATAACATTTGTACTCCGTAACAAACCCCTTGATTACTAGATCCCCACAACCACTGGTTTCCCAGGACTCCATTGTATGTATGCACATTTGCTTCACAATAGAGCACGCCTTCAGCATTTATTATTCTGCCAGTTGGGAGTTGCTCAATTTTATGAGAAGTGTATAAGACTAAATGTACCAGCTTCAACCTTCCCGTTTCCCAAGAAAAATAAAGTCACGAGATCTTATATCACTCCTTCGAAAAGCATGAAGTTTCCTCGTAATAGTAGAATTCGGTCTCGTAGCCCCAATTTTCAATTCGTCCTCAAAATGATGGCGTATGGTGTACGGAGTAGACTGACTGTCCTTCCGTTGGACTAAGAATGCAAAAAGAGAGGATTTCCACTCAAAAAAAAAAAAAAAAAAAAAAAAAAAAAAAAAAAAAAAAAAGGAATGTGATGAGAGTGCACCGCTCTAGTTGACAGCAGCTTCAAAATATATGCCTTCTAAGAAACGCAAAACAAGAGAGCAGATTCCACTCCAGGATCCAGTCCCGGTTGGATAGAGGCCAGGTGCCCTTCTGGCTGCAAGGCTGATACTGGAAGACGATGCCATATCCCGTAGACCATTCACAGTGGATATGGCTCTGCCAACGAAGCTGGCGGTGGGGAAAAAGCTGCTACATGACATCCTTGAGGACGTGGTTGGGCCTTCCACATCTGCAGAAGAGTCTTGTCTTGTCCAGAGGCAAATCATCACCCAGATTTGACCAAATTGGGCGCCCTGGGGAAGACAGTACGCTGTCAGGGAAAGTCTGTACAACAGGCAACTCAATAAGCGTGCTTCGTTGCCAGACTATTCATTGCAACCAACCAGAAGAGGGGAATATATCCAAGACTTTGAACTGCCCTTGCAAAACTCGAGCAAGATGCATTGAAAGCGCGTCCAAGGTGTTTGCACTATTCCTTGATGCTGATTTTATCTAGGTGTAGGGTTGACCCGTAGCAAAATACGCAAAAGCTCCCTCCATGGCTACACCATGGTTTCTCATCGGCAATCTTAGGACCATTGGTTAATGGTATATTCTAGATCCACGACCGTTCAATGTATGATGTGTAGGAGTACTGAAGACTGGGAGTCGTTGGTCTATAGGAGAAGCGTAACATGAGGTCCATGGCTTCCCCAAAATGGATAGCAACTACTCTGTACAGTGTACAGAGTAACCCCTAAGAAAATATCCCCTCGTCTGTGTGGTTAGTTACTGTTGTGGCTTTCAGTGCTTTTCAGGTGCGGCAATCAAATTATGCCCTGTAGCAAGGGGAGAATTGCCTTTAAGAGTTAAGACAGGGTGAGATTTGAGGAAAAGGAGAGATTCACCAGCTAAGTTTTTAGCACCCTGACATTTCAGTTACAGTGTTGCAGACAGGGTCATCCTAGAGGGAAGATGTATATGGGGTCCTCTGCACTCCGTACTCCGTGCTTTGTCTTTAGTAGTGAGAATTAAAGGCTGGGTTACAAACAGAGCGCACTCCAGAGTGCCTGTGATAAATTGTCACGCCAACCAAGGATCCGCAAAGCAACCATAATCTTACCACCGCCGGTGGTTGGCCGGCGCCAAGCGACCGTACCACCACGATACTCGTCCCGATTCCTGTGGAAAAAGCCACGCCAAGATCAATAATTACCAGGTAGTCTAGAGCTGGACAAGAGAGTTTGGAAAAGAGGGAACTCCTTCCATTCTTCCTTTCTCCCCGTCTAAATCACTCTCCCCCAAGCTTGGTAATACGGCCTTGACCCGGATTTTTCGCTTGCTTGCCCTGGAAGAGGCGTGATGAGCAAAAAGTAGACGTTGCTTGCCCTGAGCTTATCTTAGTGAGGTTAAGGGGCGCAATGAGAGCTTCACAAGATGCGGTCACGGGGGATGGGACGAGATTCGGCATCACCCCACCAGCCAATCAAGGTACCGAGACCGTGGCGGCTCGATCCAAAGTTTCTCTTTGCTGGCACCAACAGATCGACAGGCACCTTTGACTCAGCAATGCGAGTGATGAAGTGAACGTTCGTCCCTATGCAAGGAATGTGCCACATCAATTGCGCCTTGGATAAAAAAAAATTTGCACCAGCAGACGAATCAGAAGTTGGCATCGCCGGGATAAGCTGGCTGTGCTCGTACCGAAGGCTGTTCCAAATGTGAGGAATGTGTATTTCGGTACCTGACGCTAATCCCTACTAGGGAAATAACGGGGTGCCAAGCAGCGCGAAAAAGCGGTCATGACAGCTAGCGCTATGCCGCTTTTGGGTTGGGGCTGAGACCAGGCTTTTCCTGGCCTGGCAGGCTCGTCGCCAAATTTGAAGCCTCATTTCCGATGTTGGCTGCTGCTGGCCCCCTCTCCGCCTTTTCCAACTTTCTCTCCTTTTTAAACCACCCGACCAGCGCTCATTCACACACGCACACTCATTTTTGAAGCCTGATACCTTTTTGCTCTGAGATACGCTCACTCTTTTGCGTCTCGACCTACTCTCCTTTCTTTGCGCTTTCAAACCGTCGTTCACTTAAATCTCTTACTCAGTCTCCGCCGATTTGTTTCAAATCGCGACAACAACTCCGTGTCTCTCTGTCGCAGCAGCGCCTATTCGTCTATCGAGCTGTCAGCGCCTCGGTCTCATTCTGAACTTCCTTTCCTACCGTTTATATTTCCATCGCGACGCGCGCAATTTCTTGCCCTGGGCTTCACCTTAAAGCCAGCTTCATAACACACAAGCACACGAGCACGCCTTCCAAGCCTCGCCCAACATGCGCTTCTTCGTGACTTTCTTCACCGCCCTCTTCTTCATGATCGGGTCTCAGTTAATCGCCGCAGAGGAAACCGTCACCTCGACAAAAACCACCACTCAGACCCTGACCATGACCATCATTCACTCCGTCGGTGCTTCCACAACCGCCGCCACAAATGTCACCACAACCGTCGCGAGCCCCACCCCGTCTACCACCACCGCTGAAGAATCCGTTCAGTCATCTACCGCGACGGATGCTCCAACTGAGACCGGAAATGCTGCCGCTGCCGTTGTACCAAATAGTTTCTCTGCGATGGTGATGGCTGGATCGGTCGCGGCCCTCTTAGGCACCCTGCTATAAAGCGAAAACCTGCGCGTAACGCATGAGTCTGGTGGCCTCGGCTTGTGGCTGGTTTGAACATGCCGGGTTTCGTTGATGGCAGGAGCATCGGCTCCTTCTGCTGTCCTGCAGCGAATATATATTCTTGCCGCTGGTTGCCGGCCTTATCGATACCCAAACCGTACTTCACTCTCGGCTCCGCCTGAGACTTTTCTTTCGCATGCGATACCCGTATAAATAAACTTCGAATGTTCCCGGGGCCCTTTTTATATGAAGCCATTTATTCTTATCATCTTATTCATTTAGCCCCTATGCTCTTTCTGGCCCCCGGAGATCTTTATCTTTATTTTTATTTTTATTTTTATTTTTTTTTCCGCTTGAAGATAGGATTGATGTTTATGTTTATAAGACCTTCGACGACATTTCTTCTTAGGATATGATGGTGAAGTGCTTTCACGGCAGGTTCGGGGTTAGCTGGAGCATCGATGGGAACTTAGAACTGCTTCTTCACAGGCAACTGCTTTGGAGTGTTGACGCGCTGCAGCTCTGAAGAAGGCAAACCTGCTTAGTTTATTCTTGTTGACCGAGCTGGTTGTCGAGTGGCAGGTATCCTTATTCTCCTTCTTGAGATAGTGCTTCTTGGGTTAGCAGTTGTTAAAATTCCTTGGAGATGAAAGTATCTTCTTCTCTTTTCTTCTTTTTATGGCACGTACCATTATTTTCTGTTCTCAAAATTTCCCTTTCCTGTGTCATTGATCTATCAAAACCATAAGCATTGGGCTGTAGTGAACATTGAGGGTCGGAAGGTGCAGCAAACGATCCCTCCTCATTGTCTTCATCTGGTAGAGCCTCTGTCTAAGAACAGTCCAGATTGCAGTGAGAGCAAACGCATCCCAATTCAAAGCCGTGGGAATTGTGTTGATGCCGACTCCCATGATCTGGCAAACAGAATAAGGAAATGATTACAAGTTACTGCTGGGACTGAACCGAAATGTTTTTCATCCCTGAGTTGTTCATGCTGCCCAGTGATTACGTACACCTGTCCCTTGGCTACGGGCTTCAAATTGATATGCACAGATAGCTAACTCTTGGCATAGCTCATTCCCCTTGGAAACATCATATTTCCCGCGGCTATCTTTTTGAACCAACTGACTCCAGCTATCCTACTCCGTACGGATACTCACCTTTTGCCGTTGCATGCCTTGATAAATGGGGACAATTGGTGGCCGGGTTACTTGTTTCGATCAAGTAATTCGACTTACAACAACCGGTCCCATAGCTCAGTTGGTTAGAGCGTGGTGCTAATAACGCCAAGGTCGCGAGTTCGACCCTCGTTGGGACCATTAGCAGTTACAATTTTTTTTTTCAGTCTCGCCCTCTCGATTTGGTGAGAAACCTAGGAAAGCGACGCGTAGAAGCGCTAGGATTCGAGGTGCCCCATGTCTCAGTTGTGTCTCGAGGTGTAAAAAAAAAAAAAAAAAAGGTTACGCCACCCCAGAGCGTGACGTCGGTGGTATGAACGGATGTAGCCAGGAAATTTGACCCCGTGGTACTGCTTGCGGAGTACGGAGTAATACTGGTTGAAAGACAAAGAAACCCCTTCACGCATCAATATAGCCCTTACTTCTGCTGCAACTCTTGCGAGCCAAGGAGAGACAAAGGCATTGTATGTACTTGAATTGCAGGTGATACAGAGCATACAAGGCAGCTGCAGCTAAATATCATACTGGGAAATAAGTATACTGCGCTTCCGTTCCTGCATGAAGGAGTCAGGCGACGTACAACGAGCGACCCAGAGCAAGGATGCCGAAAGCCCGTAAGAGCAAAATAAAGCGCCGGCGAGAACATGCAGCCTTTGACGTTGCCAGCACTTCGCTCTACGGAGTAACGAACTGAGATATGGGACCGCCCATTACTTTGCCTCCATCGGTGATGCCCAGCGAGACACATCGAACGATCTTTCTCCGCGCCAACTCCGACGGCCTGCTGACAAATCACCGAAGAGCTTGTCAAGGTCATGTGACTTCGCGCCGATGCGCCAGACCCACCCGACGATGATTGGCCCGAGTCGCGTCACCGCGCAGCGAGAGAGTTCGAGGAGTAAACAGCGGCCTCACGTTGTCTCGACTCGACGGGAGAGGGTACGGTGGAAAATTGAGAAAGGGGCTCACGTTTCGAAAGCAAGGCTGGAGGCAACGACAATGGATTCTGATCCCCCATTACCGTTTGCTCCTCGTGCTAAACGTATCTCTACCCCGCGAACCCTGGTCAATGCGCCTAGTGCCCCTTTCTCATTCGCCCATCGTACAACGGGATTCAACTTCGATGGACTCTCGGGGCCGCCTTCCAGCGACACTCCACTATTTTCTAGCGACGATTTTCAACCAGGTTTAGAGGATTACACGCCCGCGTTGACCTCGGCGCAAGAAGCGACTGGAGCGCCCTGCAATGGCCGGGGGGATGGAGGTGCGCGGAAGCGACGGTATCGTGGGACATGGTGGGGCGAAAAAGTCCAGTGTAGGAAGAAGAGGACGAGGACGGGATTTAAGAATAAGAGAGATATGGATAGCGGCGTGTGGATGATGAGTAGTGACGACTCTGCCGGTTTGTTAAGTTCGGATATTCTTGATGACGATGGGGAAGGAGGAAGGGGAAAGGGACACGCGTATACACATGAGGATAATATTATGGACAGCCCGGTCATGCTGGACACCGTACAGCCTTCAACCGCGCTCAGAGGGGATAAGGCATCCAGAAAGTTTCTCAGGACAGATCGAGCGGCTGAAACTGAACCGCAGAGACATGCAAGGTCTGCCATAGATCGCTGCTTAGAGGAAGGAAATGATAATGTGGACCTCTCGTAAGTTGAAGACTCCCGCTTGTTTTTTTATCGGGGCACACGTTCTCACTCCTTGAACGATAGATACTTTAATCTCCAAAAGATTCCTCCGGGCACGTTCCAGCCCCTCATCCAATTAACAAAGGAACCCGCTCTGGAAAACGCCCCGATCTCTGAGGAAGGATATAGTCCCTTGGAACCTTTCCTCCGCCTATACCTCGCACAGAATCGTCTCACGTTGCTCCCGAGAGAGATGTTCGATCTTCAAGGACTAATGGTCCTTAGCTTGCGTCAAAACGAGCTCAATGAAATCCCTTGCGCGATTCAAAAGCTAACTAATCTGCAAGATTTAAACCTTGCAGTTAATAGACTCGAACATCTCCCATGGGAATTACTCAGCCTTATGCAAAAAGGCGACTTGAAGCGATTAACTGTCCACCCGAATCCATTTATCCAGCTGGACGAACTCAACATCGCCGAATGGTTCTGGGACGTTGAAGAAGGAGACGCTCCTGTCTCAGAAAGACTAAAACCTAATACCTATTCCGGCGATGCAAACCCGAAGGTGTGGCTCCCGATCCACATCGCAAACAGCCCGGTTAGCTACTTCGACATGGAAGGACATCCGCTGAGTCACAGTGACACCCTACCGCCACCCAATCGCGCCCAATCCCTCCGTGAACTGTCCCTTCAAGCCTGTCTTCGCTCGCCGCAAGTTTCCCACTTTCTCGACCTCACCATCCTTGATGCACCGGAGGAAGAGCACCCCGATTTTCCGGCTTTCGTCGTGCGCCTCCTACGGCTTGCAAAACAGGTCAAGCTCACCGGCGACCGAACGTGCTCGGTATGTGCACGAACATATGTGGTCCCTCGAGCGGAATGGGTAGAATGGTGGGACTGTACGCCGTATGAAAATGGATCGAAGATTCCGAGGGTGGCTGGGCAGCGATTGTGGCCTCTACCCTTTTTAAGGCGGGGTTGTAGTTGGGCATGTGGGAGGGACATTCAAGACAAACAAACCTCAAACCAGAAAGATTGTTAAAAGAAATTTAGCGTCCGGTATAGAGCACAGAGAACTAGAATAAGCAACCGTTATTGGGACGCATTGTATAACAAAAAAAAAAAAAAAAGGAAAAAAACCAAAAGAATTGCTAGGAATGTAGCAAATCAAATCCAAACATGTTGGGATGTACTGGTCATAGAAAGTTATGCGGAAAGAACCTTGGAAGTCTGATTTAGAAGCAAGCCTAGTATACTCGCAAAAAGACTGAATGAACAACGAACATAGTCATTCTGAGAGAAACTGAGCGTCAAATACAAGGAAAGTTGTAATCATTGGCCAGTATTAAGAAAAATCATTGAACGGTCCTGATATCACGCCATCGCTCAAACACGATCGCTATGTTAGATAATTACCACAAACTCAAGGATTAATGAAAGGTAAAGCAATCACCAAAACCAATATATCAATCCTCTCCACCGTCACTCCTCGCCAGCGAGGTCAGTCACGTTGTCCTCCACATCGTCCCTTACGACCACTTCAATCTCCTCCAGCCTCGGAGAGCCATGCATCTTATCCAACCAGGATAGCATGCTATCCCCTGCTCGCGGCATAATGCATTCCACATTGAGCGATTCTCCAGACGAGTAGCAGTTACATCCGAACCTGTACCTACCAGGAACGTGATGATGGAGCGGTTTGTCGGAGATCAGGTAAGCGCGGGCACGTGTGGAGACAAATTTGGCGAATTCAAGCGGATGGAGGTGATTGATATCGTGCAGGGGATTGGTGAGGCAGATTGCTGAGATACGGGGCTGCCACGTTTGCCCTAAAGGAAAGGAATTAGCGAAACGTTTTCAACTCGATTAGTGTAGCAAGAGGAAGGTCAGGTCATACAGTGTTCGGCCAGGTATCTGATCGCTCCAAGACCACCTTCTGCAAGCCCGATGATGTCTATTTTCGCGGTTTCGGGGACCATTTTTCCGAGGACCTCCTCAAATACGTATGTAATGTGTTCTTGCCAGTTTCCGTTCTCCGGAATCTTGTTGTGGTGGCTCATTTTCATGGGTGGGCTGACAGCATGTTGACGAGGGATGGCGTGCCATGTTGGCAGGGAGACTGCACGCTCTCCATTACAGTACCAAACCAGTTGCCCAGGGTTAGTAAGAATGAGGCCTGGCGCTGGGCTCGTTTCACGGTCCCTCTGGGCATCCTTGCTTTCTTCTGGATCTCCAATGACAGCTTTGGCAAAGTTAACGGCGGATCCAACATTGACGCCTTCGTCCCCTACGGTACGGTAGGCCCAGATTCCGAGGTCTTGGACGGGTTCCCCAAAGACGACAATGACGCGCGATTGGATTTCTAGAGACGGAGTAACTAGAATTGGGACATGCTGTGACTTGGGAGATGCACCGATGGGCAGACGCAAGATCTCCAATCCCAGATTACGCAATCGCGAAAGGACAATCTCGCGGATGCAAGCTGTTTCAGCAACGCATTAGCATAATCAGGGCGCCCAGATCAGAGAGGTATTCAAGCCTCGTTTACCATTCATAGATTCTTTCTGCATCTCATTATATCGATCATTGGCGTTGATCCTGTAGAGAAACTTCTGCTCAGGGTCGATAATCATCCTAATTTGGTCATTATCATTAATGAAGTAGCTGTATCATAAGGTCCGATGTTAGTATGGATCCATATCATGAACACCCTTGTGAAAGAAGAAAAGCAAGCCAAGGCGACCACGACGCACCCAAGCTGCTTCAGATCAGTTGGGAAGACAACATCTCCCGGCAGTGACTCTTTTCTGAAAACAAACATAATGGCACGTTTGATTCTGCTGTGGATGGAGTCAAGAAAGGGACGAAGTAATCTAGAATCAACAGTTGAAGCTAGAAAGGAAAAAGGAGCAAGGAAGAGAGTGTGCAAGTTGGGGTTCAAGTTCACCATGGGGATTACATATATGTGAACTATTTCTGACTGGAAACAAAGGAAAAGGCAGGGGAAGTTAAATGAGTGAATGGTAAGCCTGCAGTAACCCTCGAGCTCGCTCAGATTACAGGTTGGAATGAATGTGTTGGATTGCGGCTCATCGTCTCAACGCAGCAGAAGGACAAGGCTCTGCGAAATTGCCCTCAAGACATGAAGCAACAGCTAAAGAGGGAGTGAATGACTGATATATATCACTTCACATGCTCAAGATCAGCAATGTTTTATGTAGTTATTTTGGATATCTTTAGTCACAATCTCACAGCTTCTGATAACAATGGTGATGCCTGGTGGTTGGCTGCGTTGATTAGCTGAATGACTATGTTTCACTTTCGTAAGCTTGAGTTGGCAGTTCACTCAGATGACCAACCCAGTCAGCAAAAGCAACTGTTTTCCCCTGGTTGAAAAACTATTTCTTCCAGCCTTGCAAACACAGAATGAGGAAATTCTGAGGCCTGCCAAAGAATTCTGGTACCATGGAATCTGCTCACTGAGAATTTGTGTAAGAAATACAGAGTACAGAGTATGGAGTCGTGAAGTATATAGTTAAACAGATTCTACCCTTTTAGAATTTCAATTTTGGTGCCTTTTTGTGACGCGCCCAAGCACTCATGGCCACAAGCTCTCACTCCAGGGCCACCAAAAACGGGCTCCATTCCACCTCGATCACCTTTGTCGCCCGCAATTGATCGCCCGGCTCACTGGCTAGCGATCATAGCCCCTTTAAAGGCCGGCCATCTCCTACTGCGGTGGACAATATACCTCGTCCAAGTCCTGTCCTTCTACACACGAGAGAGCTCCCGCCCCGTTTTTCTTTGATGCCCTCCTTGTTCCCATGGCCCTCACTGCTAGTGTCTTCAGTGCTAGCTTCAGAACGCCAGACTGGGAGGGGGGCCGTCCGCCAAACCGCCCGCGGCGAGGCAAATTGAAATTCTATACGGAGTCCGGAGTACTCCGTACGGACGATATATTCTGCAATCTTTTTGTATCTCTTTCCATGCATATGTTAACATGCAATCAATTCATAAAATTGAGCACAACTTAGTAGACTATATAATTAGTATGCCACTTCATTTAAACATTTTGGGTTGAATCTTTAACCTATCTTTATTTTTATTTGTCCAATCAACCTGCTGTTCCACGCAAGAAGTTATCAACCATTGATAGAGTATTATTGAAAATGCGGAGTAGCTTAAATCCAAGTTTGTATATTGTTTGACTCAATACTTTACTTTCACTTTCTCTTTTCTTTCAGACTACTCCGTAGAGGGTTCTGGGCTGATTTGCCAGGCGCGTCCGTTTGCTGAGCTTGAAGTGGAGATACATTGTTCGCACAACTGCTGCAGCGCTTCTCATTGAGTTATGTGCTTCTAATCCATTTGAATCATCGGAGCACTTGGTTTTGGCCATTGCGAGATCGATCCCTAAGCCTCCAGGTTTACCCACAGTTTTCAAAAATTTAAATCCTTTGGCCTGGCTGGGGATTGATCTATCGGGCCGTGCTCTGTACTTGGTCAAAGGAAAGGAAGTTGGGCGAAGAAGCTTTCGGAAGAGCCACAAAGGAATATATAGCATTATTCCTTTCATATACTGTACATAGTATACATATGATCCCCGCATACAAAACGCCTAGTCCATGGAAAGAGAAGATGCAGGAATCCGCTTAAAGATGGCCAAAACCGCACCATCCCAAAAAATCACCAGCTTGCCTTTTTGACTCCCGGAAGTTCTCCCGCTAGCGCTTGTTCTCTGAATTGATACTGTGGAAAAGAGAAGAGAGTCAGTGAAATTGACCGAAGCTCCGCGGAAAACGAAAAGGGACCTCCTTCCGATAGCTCTTGGCTAGGAGGCATAGAATAATGCAAAAGGACCACCACACGTACTCTCGCCAGTTTGAAATCCCTAAATACTGCCCTCGCTATTCCACCAGCAATACATCGGTTTTTGATTTGCGTCGGTCGAGTATAGCAGTGCATTTGTGAGAGTTGGAGTTGTGCTTGGGCGCGGACACGCATAGGAAGAGAGGTATTCCGGACAAGATAGCGGAGAGCTTGTCTTAATTAATCCAGATAAGTTAACACACAGTGTGAGGTTCGTACAATATTTTGCGTCAGAGCATGGGAAAAGGGAGTACCTTTCGGGTTCAAATTCTTTGAAGACTTTCCGCTTTGTATGGTCGCGGATCACCTTGGATGTGATAAAACCGGAAATGTCCAGCCGCTTCGCACGGAATTGAGACATGATGAGACGGGATCTCTTCACTTTTTTACCTGTCTTCTGCTGAAGAGATTCAACTTTGATAATCCAAAAGTTGCCCAAAGGCTTATATAAGCAAAAGCGTACTGTGGGGAAATATAGACATAAAATTAGAAATTGTTCTATACTACAGCCAGATCAAACACAACCCGCCGGCCGGAGATCGACTATCTACGCACGTTTACCCCAAGGCGAGTCGTCATATCCAGGCATTTTTAGACGTAGAGACTTCTCTCAGGACTTGGTTTCTTGCACTGTGGTAGGGTGCTTTCTTGGCACCTCAACGAAAGCCTCAACATAGGGAAGTAAAAGAGTCTATCTGCAAGAAGTATTCCGTACATGCAATCGGAAACGGGGCGTAGAGCTTTCAATAGAAGTATTCTATAATCAATGTACAAAGGTCTCCGGCCGAGCTTTCCCATTCAACCCCATGATTGCCGCGGTCTATATCTCGGTCGCAGGCATACTTTTTATCATCATCTCAATGTTTAATGCTTCTCTGCAGCACTGACGCGCCTGTTAGGGTTTCGTGGGTCATTTCTGAATTCCTCGGCTGTAATAGTGTGTTAGCCAATGGACGATATAAGATAGATAGTCATTTCCAGGCGGAAAGGCGAATGTGACAATGCACGATATAAAAAAGGTTGTAGAGGGGAAGATGCTCACAGTTCACCATGGCGTTCTGGAGGGAATTGACGCCGTAGAGGATGACGAATGCTACCGGCCACACGTTAGCATTCAAATTGACACTCTCCCACACCGCCCCATCGGCTGAAACAATCCATCACATTCTAATAATCGATTCAAAAGAGGGTTATGCTATGGGGGCGGAACATACAGGCGGCGATGAAAGGAGCGAGTGGGCGGGCTATCGCGAGAAACTCCGGTCAGCGCAAAGTCCACCAACTGATTCTTCGTTAATACAGTTCGAACTCACCGATAGGCACCGGGTATTTCTTCCAGGGAAAGGGCATTTTGGTTGTTGTGTAGGGTAGCGAGAACGGTTGCGGAATTGCGAGGACGAGGAGAGACCGTTGGCTTGGTTGTTGTCGTCGATGGGCTTTTGGGAGTTGCGGGTTGATTTCGGCTCATTTTGCCCCAAGTCACGTGAACTCGTCGCCAGTGGGCAGACCATCCATGTACGTCCTATGTACGGAGTATGTAAACAATGAAACCCCCCGACGGACCGAGAAACTCAAGAGCCACGACGGTCGAGATGGCGGCTTCACTATCCTCCTCCGTGGCATCCCTGAAATCATCGCTGCAATTGCTAGAATCATCTATTGATGTCCTGGACAATGGCGTCAACGACTTTCCCCGCCTCTGCAAAATACTCCAGTCGACGAGAGTGAGTTTCCAGCACACCATAGCAGCATACAATTTGAAATAACCACAGCTTTGAGTAACTCGATCTAACGATCACTTCCAGCATTTTGAACTCCTGCCGGAACCTACTTTACAAGAAGCTCAAAAGGCTATCCTCGACGAAATCACCCCCAGCATCGCTCACTTGCTACGCCTTTCGGGGAACCATATTGACAAACTCGCCCGACGCGAAGAAGCTCTGAAGGCTAAATGTGAACTGCAGGAAGGCAGGTTGTCTCGCGACTCAAGACCTTCTTCTCGTGTCGGTGGTCATGCCGATGGAAAGACCGAACCCAGCGGCTTACGTGCTGCGAGCAGTGCTCGAGCGGCTGAACTCCGGAAGCTGGTGCAAAAGAAGGAACGACTAAAGTATGCCGTGGAGAGACTGGAGTTGCAGTCACGACAGAGGGAAAGACAACTGAGGAAGAGCATGGCGGCACAGTGAAGGACCGGCAGACAATGCTTGAACATTTTGCAACTAGGTTCAAGTTTTCTTTTTTAACTAATATGCTTTTCCACAGAAGGAAAAGAGAAAACGAGGTCATAGGACCTTTACCTGGGACCCAATCGACATTCTACGCTACCCTTAAATGATCAAGTGGGAGACTTTGATAATTCTCGTTGGTAGCAATGGAGGTATCGAGAGCGGATATTCCCAGACCCGAACCAAGACCCAAACTATCAACTTGTTCTTCAACAATAACGACGTCAATTCCGACATCAAATAAACCAATAAAAAGCTACAGGACTTAATCGTTATGTTCTACGGATGCCAAGGCGATCCGTTTTGGTGATACTCTTGAAGCTATCAAATGAGTGAAACTGTTTAGAATGGACAAGGTCAAAATGGGCGGAAAGTCGTCGTATTCTCTACCAGCGTATCGGAGGCCGCTAAATGCAACCTGAATTTGCTGTACATGGAACTCTGCGCTGGCTCTATGCAGCCGAATTCTATGCCCATCCATGGTCAGGGCCAATCAGGCAAGCTGCAAACACTTCAAGGTAACATTTACTTACCAAGAAGAATGAAAATGGGCGGTACCCATGGTATCAGATGATTCATTTGACTGGAATATTCCTGCACATCTTTCAAGTCTCGATTGGAGGATAGTTCCCTCAATACCTATGTTGACGAAGATGACGAAGTAAAATAAGTGGAATTATGTATATGGTACTCCGTTCATGATCTCGCTACTAATACAAACGCTGAAAATATATTTTACTCGTGAACAGAACCCAAAGTATAATATCCAGTGCATGTTCACAACATCCATCACCATCTCGCCTACCTCTTGGAACGCCATGTCGCGATGCCCATTCAAATAGCCGAGCAACAAGCACATCTCTAAGTCTCCGAAAAAGACTTGCTATATTTCTCCCGGAGTTTTCGCGCCCTCCTTTTCTCCATCTTTTTTATCCAGGTCGGCACTGTCACGTCAGATGGTCGGCGCTTGGGCTTCATATCCCGCGCATTGTCCTGATCCTCGCTGATCCTCTTGTTTTTGCCCGCTTTGGCGCCTCGCTCGTTGAACTTCTCCATTATCCTCTCAAAATCAGGAATGTCAAATCCATCTTCGTCCATGATTCCGAGTTCATCATCGACGTCCTCCTTGTTATTCTTTGATTTGCTCGCTTCCTTTTTAGTCTTGATAACCGATTTTTTCGCAGTCCCTAGCTTCAAGGCGCGTGTCATTCGTGTCTTAGCACCTAAGGCCCAGAGATCCCCCCACTTGGACTTGCGAGCGTCGCGATATGCTTGTTTGCTAAACGAGCGAGGGACAACCCAGCGTTCGATTTTACCGGCGGGCGTACACACGTCCATTACCACATGTCCTTTGCGTTTTATCGGGGGAAGAATGAGTCGGGGAAGGGAAAGAGTGTTGACTTGTGGGGTTGTAGATTCATTCATTTCACTCAGCTCTTGGATTTCAAAGTGGCCTGCGTTATCCACAGAAGCTTCATAACCGGAGAAAGCAGCATCGGCGGCACTGGGCCCCTGTATTATACCTTGATTCTCGCGTTGGTCAACTCCTCTCTGGACGACGAGGTAGCTGAATTCAACGTCCTCATGATTTTTGCCAATGGCTCCTGAAATTTTCTGGAGAAAATCTGGGCGGATATAACGTTGACTGAAATGACAATAATCTCTCTTCGGGACATGCACATCTGGACCAACGTACATCGGGCATTTGGAATGGTTTGTACATGGAGCAACAATCATGCCTTTTTCCTTTTGTACGATTGCCTCATCGCCAGGGGATTCTAGGACATTCTCGTATTGGGTAGATCCGGGGGAAGCGATCAACCTCTCTAAAATCATTTCCCGAGCGCCTCCAATGACATCAAACCCTCGTTGGATACCCTTTTCCGCCAAAACAAGAATACCGCCATTCGGATTCAATAAGGACCAAAGATTCAGAACGTATTCCTTGCGCATATAAGGTTCTTGGAAATGCATCAATGTATGCGGTGCGATGATCACATCAAACTGCTTCCGTTTTGGCGGCAAGGCATCCGTATCGATGACCGACTTATCTCTCAAATGCAAATAATCCGGCAGGCGTGGGATAAATGTCGTATTGTCGAGAAGCTTGCTGGTCCGATGTCGCAATGAATCGGATCCAACCACAACCGTGGCTTTTCCCTGAGGAGCTTGGGATTCTGAAGGGTGGTCAGGGTACATCAGCGACCACTCTGCTTTGAGTATGTCTCTCCATGCCAAAATACCAGCTCCACCCGCCCCAGCGTCGAGTACTGTCGGGCCTCCCTCTTTATATATCAGATCGCGTAACCATTTAGTCCCTAGTCTCTTTCGAACTTCCGTCAATATACTTAAAGTGGTCGCGTACATGCCAGGATACAGAACAGCAAGAAAGAGGCTAGCTTCAATTCCAGACATGATGCGTTGTGATGGAGAAGAGGTGATAGGTTCTTGAGGGGTGCGTTTGGTAGTAGTGGTGGATTTTGATAAACAAGGCATGAATAGGTTATGCGCAGCCTCGCTGATATGTTTCGGGCTGTGATGTGAAAGTAAATCCCTGATAGGTTTCGTAAAGGTATCTGTTGGCATGTACACTGTAGAAGGGTACGTCCTAAACTCGGCAGCGGCGGTCAAAGGGTGTGCGCGAGGCTGTGCGTTTCCATACGAATAGTCATTTTGAGGAAACTCGGTAATTACATCCCCTTCAAGTTGTTTCGCAACCTCATACATCCGTCTTTCAAGTTCCTCCGGGCTATCAACGGGAAAGATGTCACTTGGTTGTGCGTTTTCCTCCCCGGTCGGGTCTACGAGCTCTGTCTCCAGGTCCACTTCGACAAATTCACCTTCGCTGTTCTGCCGAAAAAGCGTGTTTCCCGCTTCCTCCGGAGGTTGAGGCTCAGTCTCCGACAAAGTTGCTGGCTCTCCATATAGCCGTGTATATAGGGTCATCTCTTCCTCATTTAATCCGCCCTCCGGAAGGGAATTTCCATATTGCTGCCTTGCGAGCCTGACTCTTTCACCTAAGGTCTCTTGATTCAGATGGCCCAGGATATCGACAAACTCATCCGTTAAGCGCAGTTCAAAAAGGTGGCCAAGTTCGGGAAACCTGATTAGCATCCCTAGGTCATGTACATCCTCCAAGAGGTCGTAGTGGTGGGCATGTATCCTATCGAGCAATGCGAACACGGCGGCTTTCTTGGAGGAGGCATGGTCCGAGGAAGGGGAGGAGAAAAAGCGTTGACTATGACAGCTTCCGACGGGCCGCCCATTCTGTGACCCTAAAGCTAATAATGATATTCTGGAGAGCCAGCTATGGGAACGGAGGACTCCCGGCACCCCAAGCCGCGATTGTAGAGAGCGTAGCGCAGGGCTTCTCACCAAGCTGAACGAGCAACGGGCAAGGGCACGAAAGAGATCTGGAGAACAAGCCGTGCAGACTCTCCGGCTAGAAAGCATAGTTTAGCGAAGGGCGCGTCGAATGTCTCCAGAGGATGTCACCCTTAGCGTAATGGAAAAAGATGAAGCGCAACGGCGAACTGAATCTCCATCGTTCAAGCTTTGCGCGCCCAAAACGGGTTTAGTGCACGTGCCACGGATGTGGCTTGTGTCCATGGTCTGGACTCCGCAGATCCAGATTCTGGCCCCAGTCGCTGCAACGCCGCCCGTCAATATAACCAGTATTACGGAGTACTCTGCAAACAGCAGAAGACCTACTATATGGTTCTACGATGGTTATTATTGCAAAAGAGATATTGCAAGATGGACAGTCTTATAGCTACAGGCTTTCAACCCAAATGATCCCATGATATGATTAAGAAACTTTGATTCAAGATGCACTAATACCTATTCAGTCGCTATCGCTCTCCTCGTCTCCCATTACAACAGCAAGCGCCTTCTTGAGCTTTGCAACTTCATGTTCTAAAGCAGTGAGCTTGGCCATGGCCGCCATCAAGCTAGGGTCCTGACTTTCCACCCTGACCTTCTCTTTCACTTTAACTTCCTCGCCGTTCCAGCAGAATACATCCCCCGATTCATCATGACTTTGATGTTTGGTTCCGAACAGACGATCTCGAAGAGAAAAGCCGCTTAGGCCGATTTCTGGAGCAAAGTAGGTAGTTGGGATATCGGAAGTGGCATGTGGCTCCAGTGTACGAACGTACAGGACTAACGCCGCCTCGGAGACACTAAGGTAAAACGATAAATGACTAGGTAGCGGTGGATCGAATGCCTTGTTGTAAGGTCAGCTTGAGAGGTGGAGCAGGAAGAAGAGGTGAATACATTTGCATCCGCGCTGCCTTCATTCCAAGGCTTCCTCATATCCTCGCGGTCACCCTTCAAGGCATGCCGCGCTTCCATTATGTGCTCTTGCAGCAACCGTAACTGGCCGGATATAAAGTTAGCATTCATGGGATCACCCGTAAAGGTGCTAACGTCCACTACGTCGAGACTGTCATTTATCTGCCGGCGCGCTAGTGCAATCTGGTCCAGTATTAACTCTGGGGCGGTAGGACTCGTAGAAAGACAAAGTCTGGTGGCATGTGAGCCGCGAGGAGGAGGTAAAGAGTTCAGTCGGAGGTGAACGTCCTATCGGTTAGAAAGGATACTTAGCTATACTATCTTACATCTTCGTGATGCATCCTACAGCTGTAGTAGCACTAGGTAGATATACGCCAGGTAACTCACCCCTTTCACGATCCTCGGCCCTACCCGCGTGACATAGCCTTTGACGCTCTCGGACCGGAGAGAAGAAAGCACCAGGGTAGAGCCGGGCTCCGTGGGAGCAAGAAGGGCGGCACACTCTTGAAGTCCCTCCCGCAAAGCAGCCAGAGATTCCTGCAGCGACCGAAGAAGCCATTCGAGCTCACGGGACTAAAACCATGTTTCGTTAGTCGAGAAGTTAAGCTTAGCCGCTGCATGAAAGCCGTTACCAGTGACTCTTCTTCCTCCCGCTTGAGCTGATCCGGAGGCAGCTGGGGATATACCCAAGTCGCCATGATACTGCAATTAGTAAATCGGATGACTCTGGAGGAGTCCTGATGCTTCAGCAGAGTCGCATGTCGTCAGATTTTTTTCATTTCTTCTCAACTTCACACAATTACTGCTTTGGTGACGATGATCCCATGGCGTGGGATGGACTGACTGACTAAGCCACGTTAATGAGTTAACCACTAGCAGGGAACTCATCAGGGGACCCTGTGAGTCCCGACAGCCCACCAGCTGGCCGTCGTCAGCATGGCGCTTCAACCGCCCAACTTGGTCTTCCTGTTTATTTTCCAGAAGCACTGTTGAATCAGACCAAGAAAAGATTGACGGCCTTTACCAGGGATATGGTTATTTCTGGGCCTCTTCGGGAAATTTAAAGCCACGTACTGGCTCGTCACCAGACCCCAGGACCGTTCCTCAATTCCAAATCCCACCACCTGCGACAGAAGATGATGGAATTGGAGAATTATTCTTATGTAAAAGGAGAGCTACGACTTCCATATCAATGCTGGGGATGAGCCACCGCGGCTAAAGTTCCTGCCCACGCGCCAACGGTTTGACGATCCTCAAGCTCAAACCAAGGTGCGGCAGTCCGTGTTCGACGATCGCGACATTCGATGGTTCACGTCAAACCTCTTGGTGATTTCTGTGCTTACCAGCCAAGGCCAGCATTCATGCATTTCCACGGCGCAGAATCTCCGGAATTTTCCTCCTCCCCAGCTCTTCCATTCCCAAGAATGGCATGGCCTTAACCTCTTCGGGCCACAGGTAGCAGATCTCCTCAATGTAATCTGTGACAGTGAGGATGTCAAGTCGAGTTTCAAAGCGCTGCAATCACTCTCTCATCTCCTCAGTACTTTGCTTTGCAAGCTGGGTCTGTCTCACCAGTTTGGCTTTTCAAATATTTCTTACTTATGACCCAAGTCCGTTGGCCTATTTCTCTTTCTCCCTCTTTTGTCTTCTGCATCTTCCCACAATCAATAACTTGTGACTTCCTTTCGGTGCAGTGGTTGAAGACAATCGCTTAAGGGGTTACTTTCATTCCATGTTAAGTCACCCTCTTTTCTTTCCAACCATCCACTGTCTAATGAGTTCACGTTGATCGTGGATTTTATTTTCTTTATTTTCTTTCTTTCCTTTTCACACTTGGAGTCGTTACTGGTGAACACCTTTCCAAAAAACAATAATATCAACAAGAAATTAAAATACGGGTTTTCCAACTCCTTACTAAACGCAGAAACGCTTTGGACTCGACGACGTGGATCTAGGAGAGTCAGTTATTAACCATGTTGACCAAGAACTTCGCCCTTGCGCTACTCCTCTCGTCGAGCCTTCTCGGCGGTGTAATGGGCCAGACCCGAGGTGGTGGTGGGAGGAACGGTGGTCAAAACGGTGGCAATCAGAGGGGCAATGGAGGCAATAACGGCGGGAACAACGGCGGGAACAATGGCGGAAACAATGGCGGAAACAATGGTGGGAACAACGGCGGCAATAATGGCAACCAGAATGAGCTCTTGCTTAACCCAGAAAACATCCAGAAGGGCAGCCAGAATGATGGAAATGCAAATGCAGAAGAGGGCCAGGCCGCTTCCAACACGTATGCGTATGCTGATTCTAATACGACCTACCCGTACTAACAGGTTGTTGGCAGTGACAACGCAAACTTCATCAATTTCTGCACAGGAAAGACATTAACCAACGGTCTTCAAATCCGGGGCGGATCTTGTAACGGAGTCGGTTTGTTGGTCCTATTATGAATTCCCACTGTCCATAAAAAAAGCTATACTGACTTTTAACAGTGATGGGAGATATTCCCAGTAAGAATAACATGGTTTCGACCATTATAATGAACCCGGGACCCGGAGAAGATCTGCCTGCAAATCAGGACTTTGATGTCGAACTCCAAGTTTCAAACTTGGTTGCTGGCTCCTTTACCAACCCCGATAACACCTACTACTCGGCACCGCAGGAGCTTGAAGGCGGAAACATTGTCGGCCACAGTCACGTCACTATTCAGTCCCTTGGCAACAATCTGGCTACGCAAACCCCTCCTGATCCCGAGCAGTTTGTGTTCTTTAAGGGTATCAACGACGCTGGCAATGGTCGAGGTGGTCTCAAGGCTACTGTGGAGGGTGGGCTGCCTGCTGGTGCATATCGCGTGTGCACCATGAATTCAGCTTCTAATCATCAACCTGTCATCATGCCTGTAAGTTCTTGCTGCATGTTCATTCTTCTAGTGTCATTTAGTGGGATGGCCAACATCTTTTTAGGTTGCACAACGCGGTGCCCAGGATGATTGTCAGAAGTTTACGGTCGGCCGAGGAAACAACAACAACAACAACAACAACAACAACAATGGTGGAAACAATGGCGGCAACAACGGCGGCAACAACGGTGGAAATAACCGCGGAAACAATGGCGGAAACAACGGTGGAAATAATGGAGGCAACAATGGCGGATCAAATGGTGGAGCCAATGCAGGCGGTCGAGGAGGTGACAATAGACGTCTCCGTCAGCGCCCAACGATGATGCGTGGAGGACGAACCCGCCTTTCCTTCGGCAAGAGGGAGTTCATTGCTTAAGTGAGTCGATCATGGAGCGGCTCCCCTTTTTGAAATGTAACTACAAATATGACGTTTGCGCGTGATCTTACTCTGCCGTGCTTCGGGGCTTGCTCTCCACATGATGCAGGTGACGGACTTTTATGTATTCATGCCTATTTCTTTGCTACATCTTGCAGTTGTTGTGTACGATTTTGAGTGCTGGCATTTCACACCCTTTGCTTCTTCTTTCTTGGTTAATGGACTATTTTGAAAAGGCTGCAAATGGCTTCGATCAGTGATATATCCCGGCTGGTGTACTCCGTGGAACCATGATCTTCTCAACTCCCGCACGACATCGCAGTGCTTGAGACAACGGTAATCCTAACCATCCCTGAACTTCATAAGGACTCTGTCTGACCCGTCTCCCGCGATTCCATGAAACTGTCCTCGAATCTGCATCGTACCACCTCAAGGTCCTCACTCTAAGCAGGAGACATACATACAGGTATTAAAACATAGGGATCCCGCGAAGTCATTGACCTGCGGTCAGGAAAAAGGGGTACTCGATCCGCAGTCTAATTGGTTGTTTATACATCCCGGTCAGTACAGAGTGCCTGCCTCAGGCAAAATTTATCGCGATACTCCCCGATGTCTCGCGAAAACACACGGTGGAACGCCACCCGCCATTGGCTGCGCAGTGGCGCGAACACCCGAAAAGAACCGATACCTCTTCAGACATGGGGAAAAATCATGGGTATTTTTTGCTAGTCGATAATTGAACAATTATACACTGGAGTACGGAGTACGGAGTACTCCATAGAGCCAGCAACCCTGTTGAGCCTGTAACGCATTTCCCCACAGAGCTCAAACAGTGCTAGTGTGGACAATGGAGCATGTTCGTATTGCCTTCAAACTATGTAGCAATATATTTATCCCCGGAGGGGGGTGGTTTTGAACGAACACACATTCACACAGGGAGACCAAGCCACAAGTGGTTTGACGTCATGTAGCTGACTGGAGTGGCTTTCGCGTGGAGCTGGCTAACTAGTTGCCTGTCGAGATCCGCTCAATGATTTTTGGTGGGTATACCGGCTAACGGGCGTCTCCAAGCCGTCAAGGGGAGCGACGGATTGGCCTTGTGTTCATCCCACGTATGTCCCAACGGCGTAACTAGTCACCAATAGCCACGTATGCGGTTAGCAGCTTGAAAAGTGGGTGTCATGGATTCGGCGAGGTTGATGGGATGGATCCCAATCTTCGCAATCCCCCGTACATGCCACGTGAAGAGGAAAAGGGGACGAATCGGAAGAATTCAAAACGCATATTTCATATAAATAGGTTCTGTAGTCTAGATATCTTGGGTATGGATGTACAGTACGTATCGAAAACTAGGATAAAAAAATTAAGTCTCAAGGATGCGATAACCAGTCGGCCCTTTGAGATATGTACAAACATGAGAGTATGTGGAGAGGGGAGAAACTCCATCCATCCACGAGAATTCAAGAGCAAAGAAAAAACAAATAATCCCCCAAGTGAGAAAATATCCCGCGACGTAGAATCCAAACAGCGCACTCGCCTGCGCGAAATAGAGCAAGAATCATCCCATGCTCCAGGACCGCCCGCCCGCAGCTGAGCTCAAAAAAATCGCAATACCAACCGACATCGAAGAGATTCCAATCCTGAAATCAGAGGGTAAAAAAAACGTGTGCAAAACTTCACCGAGAGAATGTTGAATTCGTCTCCGGTACCCCACTCCAGAACCACCCATTCTCGGGGTAATTCTTCGACCAAATCCCTGTACAAGAGGCCTTATTACGCCCATGCTCCAACTAGACTCATTCCAAATGCGCCAAGGAAGACTAGTAAACAGGCAAAGATGCGCCTTTTCCCTCTCAGGATTCGCCAGCTTTCATCGGTGAGGAAGTCCTCAGCCAAAAGCTCCACGAGAGAGGCGTAAACAAGCAGACCCGACGAAATTGCATTCATGGTGCCAACCATGATGAGGCCAACTTCGGAATCGGGGTCATACAGGGAGTGTGTAGCCAAGCCAATGGCTTGACCAATAGGGGTTCTAAGTTGCCTATTAGCGTCACCTTCTTCGTGTAGTTTTCCCTGCTATCAACGTTTCGGGATGTAACAAGCCATCAACTTACGTGCAACCGTATGCGAGAGCCATGAGCCATGGCTGTTTGGCATCTGGATTCCAGGAAAGTGCTGAGATACGCGCGCCGAGCGCCAAACCTTCAAAACACTCTGCGAAGGAAGTTAGCAGAACAAGTACCGAACGTCACAAAGAAAATGGGGAAAATTGGTGGGGGGTTGGTGATGGTGCTTTGACTTACGGTGGAATGAAATCGCAACCAACAGAATGACGAACTCGTTTCCGACGGAAACACTCAGCGCCATTCCAATAAAAACACTGTGGAATAAAATTCCAACTTCTAAGAGAACGCATTGTAAAAACGCTTTTCGGGTCCTCTGCTCGGGAGTTAGAACGATAGGAGCATGCACATCGGGCACGTCCTTTTCAGCACCCTCCCGGTTGACCGCGTTAGTCCCCGTCACCATTTCAGGCCCTTCAGCCGTAGATTGACGAGAAATAGGGCTACGGACTCCATAATCTCCGCGAAGATGAGGATCGGAGTCGGATGATTTTCCGCCTTCCAGAGCTTCCACGGGGCTGGCCGTTGCTCCGTAACCCTGGTGGCCTGTAGGAGTTGAATCTTGATGGCAGATCATCTGGGTGACTCCCCTGGTATCACCACAGATATGTCTAGCGGGGCTGAAAACCATCTCTACCGTGGTAACAAGGAAGACGGCTGCCAGAGCGATGGCGCCAGGCATTGCGGGATAGTCCACCGTCCAAAATTGTGATAAACATGGGTTTCCAAGTGAAACAAAAGCGGTGGGCAAGAGGTGGACGAATGCTGTGGCAATCAAGACACCGGTACCAAAATGTCGCACGAAGAAAAGGAAAGAATGCGGGATTCGTAGACGTGGAAACCTGACCGCAAGCATTGGAAATGCACAGGCCCCAAAGGATACGAATAAAATGATAGCAAGTGCAGCGACATGCAGGCCAACGCTGTAGTTTGGTTTACTGCTGCCAGTTTGACAGCTTTCGGCTCTCTTTACGACGCGGGCCGTCGCTAGTTTTTGCCCTAGAAAGGCAGCAGTTAGAATAAACACGGGAGGAGAATGGACATGGTTGACGTACGGGGCCGGAAGGTCGAGAGGACAACTCCCATATAGTAGACAGAGAATACTGCCATTGAAATTGCTGGCAGCCACCATAGCAAGCCATGATGGAACCAGGACTTTAACGTCTTTACCCTGTAAGGCATCTGACGACTTGCAGCGCAAAATTCTAACCAACCCTCAGTCAGCATTTACCTGCACCAGATCAGTAGCCAACTGTGCATTGACCAACGCCTACCTTCGTAGTAATCACGAGGAAGTTTTGCATCTGCAAAGGGTGGGCGGTGCTTGGAGCCAGGAGGGACGTCGAGTCCCTTCTCGGGGCCTTCATCGGCACCGGCTGCGAACCCGAGAGACGAGAAATGAGAGGATAGCTCCCGGAATTGGGTAGCGTTTATACGGCCATTGAGATCCTGCCGCGCGGTGAGATCGGGAGATAGAACCGGTGGGTTCTGATTCCAGTCCGGGCGGTCAGGATCATGCTCCGTTCGGGACGGGCAGTTCATGGCGAGCAAGCGACGGTGAACTGAACTCGACGTCCAGGTCTAACGGCCACGATGGATGGAAAATAGAAAAGAGGGTGATTTGGGAACGATTTCAGCAAATCGAGAGAATGGAATCGGCCGTTTTATATAGTTGTAGGCGAAAACGCAAAGCTGATGCAACATAGAATTGCTTTTCTCCCGGCATCCCGTCATCGCCCGGGTCTATTTTCGGTCGTTGGCAGAGGCAGTTTCACGGCAGCCCATGGAGGCCAGCCCGCAAATTGGTAATTTAACAAACTTCCAAGAACACGCACACACAGTTGAGTTACCGGGTTGGTTACGGGGGTCGTTACGGGCCAATGAGCACACAGACGTTGGTCACCAAGTCGTGAGGCCCTGCGTTTTGTTCACCACCTGCAAATCGGAATTTGTAATTTGATATTTTTATTTTTGAAATCGGATCCAAGACCTGGATGCTCTATGGAGGAATCAGGTGCGCCATGTTCCTCTCTCCTACATCCACTCACACCACCCTGCTGTTATGGGTAGTCAACCGGCTCTACGCGAGGTACCGCCCATTCAAATTGACTAGCACTACTCCGTAAGGAGGTACGGGATATGCAAGACGCATTTCCTTTTGCAGACTTCAGATGTGGAGATACGCAGGTCGACAGGACATGGCCGGAGGTTTGCATCTCTGCATTGGCGCCCAAATCGGTACCGCAGCTGTTTGCGTATCTATTTGTTGAAGCAAAGCAGACCTATCTGACAACTTTCAATATTTTAAAATAGATTCTGCACGGCAAAAATCATATCAAAAAGTTATTCCCCTCGTCCCCAGCTAGGCCTTCAGCTTCCGTACCCCGGACTCCGTGCATAGGGCTGAATACGCTCAATGAAAGTTGAGGTAATGGAGGAAATGCGACTTTGTCGATATTTCCCAGCCACGCGAGTCTCGGGTTTAACCTCCAGCGCTGAGCAGAGCGCTGTCTCTCGTCACAACTCACCTACCGGGTTGAACTGAAGAATGAGTTAGCTCGAGAGGTTCATTCAGCCAGGCTGTCGGTTTCTCATAGCTTCTGCCACTTCACACAACACAACTACTAAATAGTTTACTCCGTACAGCGGCGCTGATCAACTACTTACGAGATAATGTATGCTATCGACTGAGATTTAGAAAGATGTACGGAGTATAGACTCAATACACACATTGCATAGCTGAAATACTTTATAACTAAGTACCTATTCCACCCCCCCCCCCCCCCCCCCCGGGTAGGGATAAGACTATAGAGGTTTAAGACATTGAACCTTCCATGATCCTCTATTTACACTTCCCATGAATCCTCATAGGCTTGCTCTCCGCATCGCTGAACGCCGATTGGCCTGTTGGGATAAGTTCTCATGGTGGCATTATACTTTACTAGTCAATTACGAATCCTGGCGGACTGGCCCGTTTTAGGCGTCGTACTTCGCTGCAGCGCCCCACGTGACGGCTACTTATCGATAAGATCCCTCTTGAAATTTCTCACCTGCAACAAAGCGAACGACCGACGCGAATTGGGACTCCACGAAGTGAACGGCTGTGGAGCACTCACGGGCTCTAATGAAGAGTCCTCTGCATTAGCGACTCCAGGAAGCACCATGTCGGCTCCGTTAATTCTCCTACCGGGAGACACGGTCCCAAGCCACCTCAAAACCGCCAGTAACAACTCTCTCAAACTCGGCCAAAACCTCCACGTTTTATCACACGCCACATCACCCATCCCGATCACAAGCACCCAGGCTGGCCTTCTACTCCAAGATCCCAAGCGTAATTCCGTTAATATTCTCACCTTTCCACGCCGCTGCTACATCCCGCAGCCCAGCGATCTTGTTATCGCTCAAATCCACCACTCAAGTGCCGATTATTTTCATTGCACCCTCTCCCCGCACACGCCGCATGTTTTCCTCCCACAGTTAGCTTTCGAGGGCGCCACGCGGAAAACGCGCCCACAGTTGAAAAGTGGCGAATTAGTGTATGCGCGTGTGCTGTCGGTCGGCTTGGGGCCAGGCGCTGAAATTGAGTTAACATGTGTGAATCCCGCGACAGGCAAGGCAGAGCCGGGTGGGCTTGGGCCTCTGAATGGCGGAATGGTGTTTGACGTTTCGGTGGGTTTGGCGGGGAGGTTGATGTCTCCGGGAGGAAGTGGAGGTGTCGTAGTGTTGGAGGAGCTGGGAAAGAAACTTGAATCGCTTGGGGGGTTCGAGATTGCCGTGGGAAAGAATGGAAGAGTATGGGTGGACAGTTCGGCTGGTGGAGAAGAAGGGATTAAAATGATTGTCGCGGTTGGTAGGTGTCTGAGAGAGGTGGATGAAGAGAATTTGGAGGTTGGGGGGCAGAAGAAGCTGGTTTCGAGGGTCCTTAAGCAGATGGGACTTGGAGCCTGATACCCAGCAGCTTCCTACTGACGGTGACCATTGTACTCGCATCGCTTCCCTTGTCGAGTTATACTAATACGTTTTTTTGGAGTTCTATGGAGTTGTGAATACAGGCGGCCTGCGGTTCAATATACCATCAAGGATAAAGGTATTGTTGGCGAAAATTGGGTTATATCGAATGCGTTCATTCATATACAAAAGTGTTCCTAAAACATAAATGATCTCTTTTGAACATCATTTTCACCTCACAGTCCAACTTTTGTACACAAGCAGTTGGCTTTTCTTTGTGAATGCTAACCCCACTAGATGCAACAAGAATAACGTAGATACTGGATATCTCTGCTTTTATCAGAGGGACCAAAGGCTGGTCCCGGGATTCGAATCACGGATAGAAAACATCTGGCCTCCATATGCCATTTTTCGACGAACTATAAAAGCAAAGTCAGAACTCCTAAAAGGGTCACATGCCGAGAGAAATAGGAGCAAGAGGAGAATATACAAGAATCCAATTCCTTTTCTCTCGCTTCCGCAATCGACATCTGCCACCCGTTCCAAATCTTCGCGCACCATCCAGTAACCAGCACATCCACCAACTTGTCCCCCAAGTTCTTCACCACATGTAGGCCAGGCTTTGATCCTTCATTCGCACACCATTGCGTCTCCACGGCAACAAGCTGTCTCTCCGCATCTTCCCACTGAAGTTTATCCACCTTGTGCGGATTTCTGGTGGGCCGGGTACGGAACAGCAGTGTGCTCCGATCGCTTGTGGGAGGACGATGGCATACTTCCCAACTCTGTTTCAGGAACGAATGATTCAGCCGGAGATATAGGGTCCCAGGGAGTGTGCTGCGACGCTTCCCGATGATTTCGACGGTTGTGGAGAATAAAGATTGGGTGAAAGAGTAGATGTGCTTCTCCCGTCTGCCGGTGAACTCTGGTGAGTTAGTGAAGGGGGCGAAACGGGATATTGCGATAGTACTGTGGCCAGTGTCTAGCTCATGGGATAGTCGATAAGTAAGACTCGTTTCGTTAGCAGAGGAATAGCCAACAGTGTTAATAGCAGTTCTATCGATTTTAAGATTGAATGTTTTGGGACCCGAGGCTACGCGCGATGCTGGGCCAGACGCGGATTCTTCGTAGGAAGGGGGCGGGGTTGGCGGAGCGAGATCGTCTGCGGTTAGAGTTTCGAGCATGGCGGGATCCATAGCTTTGAGTTTCGACTCCTCCTTTGAGTCTTCATCATCTCATATCTATGATGTACGAGCGAGACACCATAGCTCTCTGGGGGCTCATGCGGCTGAGACACGATTCGGGTTGCCAGCCTCATGTCAGCTCCCGTCAGGCGGCTCGGTCCCTGGATGACATCAGTCAGTTCTTGTTCGCAAAGCTAAACCTTATTAGGACTAGCTCAGGTATCTAGGCTCAACGGCGACAAGCAAACGGTGAATCCAGCCGATAGTCCTGCTTCTTAGGCAGAAAACTCATCCCGCGTCGTGTTCCAGTTTACATCCATCTTTTAACGAACTGGCTAAGAACGAGAACTGTGGACTGACCAATCAACAAAGGATGTATATCACCATTGGAAGAAGTTGCTGGGATCTTGCCCCCGTGCTCAGGTTATGGTACAGTCCCTCATACTTCTTGAGACACTTGCTCCGATAGTGGCCACCTAATGCGTCTGAAAGCATTGATCACAGAAGAGCAAATCTCAATATCTTACACCAGGTGAACCAAAACACAATTCGAATTTAATGTACGGAGTGGCTCAAACACTGAGACCTCGTCGTTTCGACATCGGTCTTTTCTATAAGCCACTGCACATTGTTTCCGGGGAAATTTGTATTTTCTGTACCATATCCTTTGGCCAGGGTCCCAGATTGCGGCAGCCATGGGAGCATAAATGGCTCCAACGCCAAATAAGAAAGCATATTGGTAAAAACTGGGGCACCAATATCAACCTGGAACGGATATTTCACCCATGCTTTCACTTTCCCAACTAACAATGTCTCAACGGAGGCTGAATTGAAGTACGGGGTCAAAATCCATAGAGGGTAGGGTCGGCTGATATATGCGGGGGCGGATGGCGGTCGTCTCAAGGAGGTGTCTATCCGATCACAATTGAGCAAGGCAGGGCTGGAGAGCCAGGGCTGGAGTTCTGGCTTCACTTCAAAGTTACAGCGATTTCCACAACATTAACCCAGCGGGTGCGCGATTCAGGCAAGTCGTCATCTGCATCAAGCCTCTTCCTCTTTCCGTTTTGTTTTGGAGTGTGCATTGTGTGCACATCGGGTAGCGCTGGGCCTGCCGTCCGGGCAATTTCTGCAAAAGAATTCACCTCCATATTATTGTCTTGAACATTGCTCTTAAACTGCTCCGGCTTTGCTCTCTTGCTCAGCTCCTTTTTCTTCAGGCCTTCATCCTCAACGATATCGTCGACTACTAAGACCGTCCCTGTCTTCACAGTGATGCTATACCCTTCCTTCTCGCCGAACCATTTGCCAATGTCCATGGCCTTTTTAATAGCCCGACCAGTAGCTTTGATGAATACCTCCTCCTTTTGCAGGGCCTGGCTACTTTCTTTCAGCTGGGTTACCTTAGCTTTCTCGCCTGTCTTGCTATCATGGAGGTCGATCTTGGACATAGCGCGCTTTTCAACTTCTCGCAAGAGTTTTTGAACGCGTTTTGCTGCGCTCATGAAGGGTGTCTTAGTCGAAACATAGACGATCTTCGGCACCTTAGAGCCGGCGTAAGGGGAGGCTGCAGGGGGATGGGGAATAGGGCGCTTTTCAACCCGGACATCTGAATATTAAAATTAAAACAAAAAATTAGTACCCGTGCTGTGCAAAGAGAAATCTATCTCAAATCCTTCAACGCCTTATTTTTGGGAGTTCAGGTTACATTTTGGTAGCTTTTTAAGATCTTTGTTTTTCCTTTCGAAGACAAGTTCAGGATGATACTTGTGCTTTAGCTCCGTCATAGTCAATAGCATAGAATCTTCCCAGGTAGACGATGGAATATTCGATGTTCACATTTCGTATTAACGAGGGGGATCTATGCTCCGAACAGACAACGACCACGGCCGGCCGCGAAGCTGGCGACGACGGTGCAAAGATAAGCTCAGCCTTGAAGTTAAAACTAGAAGGTTTAGCCGAAGATCTTATCGATAACGCACACCGGCAAGTTGACGCGAGCCTCAACTTTTTTGGATTTTCGCGATCGAGAAATTGCTGGCAAGCAAAAAGACACGAACTGTCGCTGGTTTGCCTCCGCTAAGACGGGTTTTCACCTCAAGTTTCCTGGCCGAACCTTTGGGGATCCTTATAATTTTCATTGCACCATGAGCGACCAGCCTAACGGCGTTGCTGCCGAGACAACGGAGAGATACGCCATTGGTATCTCCTTCGGAAACTCGAACAGCTCCATAGCTCATATCTCACCGGTGAGAACAGATATATTCTGTTTCCACAAGTGTCTGAAAGGGCGGCTCTAACTAGCCTTGCTTTCGTAGGAAGGAAAACCTCAGGTTATCGCCAACGAAGAAGGAGGTCGGTTACCCTGCACCAGTACCTCGAAAGAATTGCTCGATTAACAGTGACCTGGTAGATCGCCATATCCCTTCTGTCTTGTCCTATGTCGAGGGTGAAGAATACCACGGTGCACAGGCAAAGGCTCAACTAGTGCGGAATCCAAAAAATACTATTGCATATTTCAGAGATTATCTAGGAAAAGAGTACGTCTCCCCCATGGGCCGGGGCGGGGGCATCAACCCGCCCGTGGTATAGCCACGAATATACGCTAAGCCGTGTCTCCATTCAGTTTTAAATCTATAGATCCGACTCCTGCTCACGCTTCTGCGCATCCTCAATTGCATGATTCGTCCGTTGCGTTCACCGTCCGCGATACAGCCGCCGAGGAACCCAACACTATTACTGTTTCCGAGGTCACTACCCGCCATTTGCGACGACTGAAGCAGTCTGCTTCTGATTTTCTCGGAAAAGATGTTAACGCTGCTGTTGTCACCGTTCCCACAGACTTCTCTGAAGCGCAACGCACCGCCTTGAAAGCAGCAGCGAAGGAAGCTGGCGTCGAGGTTATTCAATTTGTTCATGAACCAGTTGCAGCCTTATTGGCGTACGACGCGATACCCGAGACACAAGTCAAGGATAAGTTAGTTGTTGTTGCGGATTTCGGTGGGACTAGATCGGATATCGCCATCATTGCTTCAAGGGGAGGAATGTATACTGTCTTGGCTACCGTCCATGACCCCGAGCTTGGAGGTGCCCAGTTGGATCAAATCCTTATCGATCACTTTGCGAAGGAATTTATCAAGAAGCATAAAACCGACCCGCGTGAGAACGAGCGCAGTTTGGCGAAAATGAAACTTGAGGCGGAGGTCACAAAGAAAGCTTTGAGCCTTGGAACTACCGCAGCGCTCAGCATTGAAAGCCTGGCCAGCGGTATCGACTTCAGTTCTACTGTAAATCGAACGAGATTCGAGTTGTTGTCCGGCAAGGTGTTTAGCAGCTTTACTCAGCTGATTGAACAAGCAATCAAAAAAGCTGAGTTGCATGTGCTGGACATTGACGAGGTTTGTTCTAGATACGCCCATTCTACAGCGCTTGAAACTAAAATATGATAGGTTATTCTTTGCGGTGGAACTTCCCACATTCCAAAGATCGCTCGCCTCGTACAATCTCTCTTCTCTCCCTCAACTACAGTCCTCTCGCCATCTACATCTCCCACCGCAATTAACCCCTCGGACCTCGCTGCTCGCGGAGCCGCCATCCAAGCTTCACTAATAGAAGAGTTTGAGAAGGAAGACATTGAGCAGTCCACGCATCCTATGGTCACTGTCGCTCCCCACCTTGAAAAAGCAATTGGCGTGCAACTCGTCTCAGCCGATCAAAGTGCTGAATCCACGGCAATTTTCAAGCCGCTTCTTAGCGCTGAGACTGCCCTTCCCGCCCGCCGCACTGCGCAGTACGCCGTTCCCAAGGATGGTGGCGATGTCATCATTCGCGTCTGCGAAGGTGCTCGCGACATCAAAGTCATCAAGCCTGAACCCAAACGCAAGCCCGCTGGACCCAAGGAAGACTCGGACGTTGACTCTGACGATGAGAGCGAGGAAGAGGAAGAAGACATCCGTGAAATTGTGTGGAATGTATCCAAGCCGATCGCGGAGTTTGCTATTAAGGGAGTTAAAGCTAATGGTAAAGTGGAAGTGATGATCAGTGTTAACGAGCATTTAGTCATGCAAGTAACTGCTAGGGAGGTGGGTGCGAAGGGAGGCGTTCGCGGTGTTGTGGATGGTCCTCAGAATGGAGTTGCTGCTTAGATAGGTGGTCATGACGAGAGCACGAGTCATTTGCCGAAATGAGTTTCTCTTATCTGATTAGAAAAGGATAGATATAGCCTTTTTTTTTCTTTTTTCCCTAGCCGGTTACAAGTGTTGTTTAGCCTTTTCATAGCCGCATCATTCAAAAATAAGATATTAGATGATTTTATTCAGGCTTCTGTGCTCCAGCAGTCATAACTGCTCAAGGTGAGGGTCTCAAAAAGGCCCATGAACTATCGACGGTGTGAATTATCACAGCACCACTGCAATAGAAGCTTTGAAAGCAAAGAGGTCTACAGCCAAACATCTGTGTATGTAGAGACTCTAGGTGAAAGTTGTGATTGGCAATGAGAGGGGTTAACTTAGTATATATGGACCAATTTGCCCTGAATTCGATGTAAAATGCGAACCCAGTAGATTGATCGTGACACAGCTCCGAAAAGTAATGAAAAACAAGAGGCCAAAAGAGCCGCAGTCAACGTCTCCCTTAAACATTACAATAGCTTCCCCTCCATCACCATTGTCGCCCTCCCCGAAAGTGTAATCCTCGACACCCCCGAACCTTGCTCGTTCAATCTCACTTCAATGCAAAGTTGGCTCTTCCGCCCCATTTCGATTCCTTGCTCAATGGCATACGCATGTCTCGAATTCTTCCCACCCTTCTGCATTGCTAGATGTGCCGCCAGCGCACAGCATCCGCTTGCACTGGCCGCTTCTTCCACCCCGTCAGCGATGACACGGGCTTCTAACCTGGTAATGTACGGTTCTTCGGTGAAATCGGTTTGGAGTTGGATAAAATATACCGCGCCGTAGAAAGAAGATGGCGATGGAGAATCACCGCCGCCATCATCTCCCACTGGTGCTGCTCTCCATCCAGCGTCGAGGTTCGGCTCCGGGGCTTCGCTTGGCTGGAGGAGGCTAATCAGGGTGGGGCAATTGGTGAAGTCGACCAGGGTGAATGTTACACCTTCGTAAATAGATACGACCGAGTATGATGCTTTCATTTTATCTATCTGCGGACTTGTGCCGAGTTTGCGCTGCACGGCGAGAATTTCGTCTTTCGACGTCTCTTTGGCATGGACGTGGATGTCGAAGGGGACTTCGATGGCAGTGACTTGTCTTGCCGGGTCGAAGAATGCATGAATCACGCCTGATTTTGTCTGCAAAGCACATTTGGATAGTTTCGCTCCGGGTTTACTCCCAGAGGCGATGTTAGGACTGGGAAGAGCGGTGGCATCTTCGTTTGTCGCTAGGCATTGGAAAATATACTGAGCCGTTCCTAGGACGGCATCAGCGGCGAAATGCCGTTCACCTTTGGAGCTGAACAGTTCGAGTTTGCGCGGTTGATATGGGTGAGGGCTATCATGGAGGAATGCTGTCGTTGAATGGTTGAATTCTTTGGCGATCTGTCTTTTTTGTTGATAACTGAGCGCGTTGCTACGAATGCTGACGATGGCAAGTTGATTGCCGAGATATCTATTTTGGTGGTTAGAGCGAATTCGATGCTAAAAGAGCAAACATAAGAATATCTGGGTATTTATTCCCTATAGTGGGTAGGATATTCTCTTCTTCTGATACAAAGCTGCACTTGGTTGGGGGGAATATAAAGTAATTCCACGACGAAAAGAAGGAAAAGTTGTAATTAACCTTTCCGATGCAAAGACATCAGCAACAACTGTCGATTCTCAGTTAGATGGATCGTCTGCAAAATATTTTGGAGGTATCATGGCCATGAATGCAATCTCTGGCAGGAAGGGCATCCGACTCTGTGAAGTGGATTCCGCCGGCAAAATGCATAGCAGGGTTGCCCGGCGGGTGGAAGGAAAACAGACCACATGTGCAAATTCAAGGATAATGGACTCATTCTCACCAAATGTATGCGGTCCTGCTGCCATGTTGATCTGTGTGAGATCAATTCAATCGTCAGAATGAACGGTCCCAGCTCTTTGTAGTTCTTGGACGCTTCCGAAGTTCAGAGTTGGCACTTGGAGATGTTAGCCACCTAAAACTATTGTTAACTGTCATAGAAGCATCCATGACAGCAAATTTTCTTTAAGCTCATACAGTGCAGATAAACTTAAGCTTTTCGTCCGCGTTGAACTCGGCCACACTCCGGATCTCTGGTCGATGGATTCAGGGCATGCGAGAAAGAGTTGATGGTTGAAGATCGTGATCGACGAAAAGCCGTTGGAAAGCGTGTTCCATGATAAGAGTTTGGGCAAAATTCACTGTTGCTTGGATAATGCTTGCTCTGGGTCACCGACATGATTGGGTGGATTGTTGACAGAGACCTGGTACTGATGGAGCCATGAACGGGCATGGCGGCGTTGGGGTTTTTCCTTCGTAACCTTTTTCTTTTTTTTTTTTTTCTTTTCTTTGTTGTTGCCGCCAATCATCAAAATGATTTGTGTCTCAGTTTGAAAGTTAACTCTTGATCAGACACCTGCAAGGGAATTAATAATTCGTCGTCTGTTCTGGCCCTCGGAATGCCTGTTCCGCGCAAAATATCTTCGGGATGGTGGGCACGGGCCTGGTATATTAATAGCTTAGAGCGTCTTTGGGCACTCACCCGACTAAGCAAAGCTTGACGATCCAAGGTAGATAGCGGGCAGGGAAAGGCTTTGCAGTCCTTGTATCGTGGAGTCAGATATCGGTTGCTCTCAATGAACACATTTACTGCTTATATTTATCTGCATTTGGACGCATTGAGTATTCTGTTGCCAATTCCCGCCACTGGTTTGACAAGCAGTAGAAATTATTGGGCCATAAAAATATTCATGTAACATTTTTCAAATAGTCCGCTTGTAGGAAAGGTTGTTGCATCTCATCATACCGCAGAAGATTATTAATTTTTTATTGCATTTTAGAAAGGGAAGTGACATTAGATGCCTGCCGTGAATGTGGCCATGCATAGGATTTATGACAGGTGAAGCCCTGCGACCTGTCGTGTCACTATGTTGACTCGGAGGAATGAGTTGAGAAGCAGACCTGCGGCGATGCCGGTAGCCGCTTTATTGAACATGTTGCTGTAGGTAGCCCTATCACGCACATCATGACGGCATTGATTACGATGGAATCCCAAGCTCTTATTCTATAGCTATCGGCATGTGTCCCGGACACATTTTTTCCTTCTTTGGCACCAATGTAGGCACTTCGCCTTCCGACTTGCATCAACATCCATCCTTAAAGCTCTTCCGATCTGTGTGGCGAGCGGATTGAATGCATTGATTTGCGTTGATCCATTCTGGAGACTTGAGCCAGCGGAAGTTGTCAGTGGTGGGAGGGTTCCGGTTTCCTGTCGAACGATCCGCAATTGGCGGAATCTAGCAAGCAGTTCGAACAAAAATTCTCCACAGCACTGCATACATTATACATACATTACTGATGAGTGCAACTTGATTTGTTAGTGGCCAAGCTGTGGAAAGGCCTTCATTGGGCCAGAAGTCGATCTTTGAGATCCATCAAATCTTTGGCGGCGGCGGCGGCGGTGGTGGCAAGGTCGTTTCAGGTCAGAGGATGCGCAAGCCAGATAGCTTTGATCTTCCCAGCAATCTGGTTTCTGGAAACACCCCTCTCTGGTCCTGGTGTGCACTCTGGCCACATTAGATAATTTCCTTGCGCCCCTGAGCTGGTCTTTTCGTCTTTCGTCGTAGAAGTACGACTCAATGTTGCTCCATCGTCTGCAAGGGACAGATATTTTCTGCGTCACACTGTAACACTTTACTGTCGTGTGCTTTTCTAGGGACATTACAAGAAGGGGGGAGACAAAAAGGGCGGACGGATAGTGGAGTACTTTGGGGCTCACATTTTGGTCAACTTTTTTTTGTGAGAACATGCGCCGGAGGCCTCAGCACCTCATACGCCCAGCCATAGTGATAGGCAACATACCGAGGGGTGACAGTCACAGCTGAAGAGGGGGGAAAAACGAGGCTCGCATCCTCAAAACAGGCATTGACAGCCTTTTCCGTATCTTCGGGGAAAAAGGAAAGAAATTTGGATTCCTCAGAAGTGACTTTGGGGACACGCAACAGGGAGTATGGAGTACTCCGTACCACCCACCATATATATCCACCGCGAGAGGAGAAAAGCGAGCGATTTATCTCAGGTCCCACTGGCGGCTCGCAGCCCTATTTGTGCGGTGTTTGATAGGCCCCCATTAACGATCAGGGATGGCGATTCGCTGCACCAACAGCATCTGGCCGGTGTGGTGCAAGCTAAATCCCCTTGAAGGCCGGCACGCGGAACGGTCTGCGATTATTGGGCCTGGCCTGGACCTTAGTGTCGAGCAAGCTGCATTGTGACTGCAGGTGCCGCGCGTTTTGAAATAGAGCTGGATTTGGACTCGAGCTGCACCTGTACGGAGTAACTACTGTACGATGTGATATTCTCAAGGGAAAAAAAAAAAAAAGGGAGGTCTCCCAGTTTCTCTTCCCTAGGTTTCCGGTAACGCGTCCTGTGTCCTCTCTGTCACCGGAGTTAGGGGCAGACGGTGAGCTGGGGGAACTCACGACATAAAGTATTTATGTACTCGGTATTGGCGCAGCGCAGCTGGTGGAGATTTGACTTCCTGTTCCTTGTGGGATCAGTGGAAATATGAGCCGGTTCCCTGGTTCGTGTTTTAGCGTTGAGCTTCAAGAACATCCCCAAGCCGAAGCGAGATCCTAGTTCGGAGGTGGGTTTATTTCGCCGGAGAGATAAGTAACTAAGCCTAGCGAGCAGCGAGGAGGAGAAAGAGGAGGGATCTTCGGGACGGAAAAGGCCGTTTGCATCTTCCTCCAGCTCATTGGTGGGCAGTTGCAACGACAAAAGATAGACAGACACAGAGTGGGAGAGACGGACGGCAGATATCATATTCATTTTTTTTTTTTTTTTTTTTTCCCTCACTCCCTCACGGACAATCACTCTCAGACAGTCCCTCTAGATATCGCCTCAATTGATTGAAAGGATCTGGTGTTCTTCTTCCCCTGTGGCATTCCTTCTCTTGTGACTCAATTGCTCGCCACCAGCTCCCTGGCTAGCTTCTCTCATCTTGTCTCATTTGCTTTTTTTTTTTTTCAGCAGTGGACAGCAATCTCTACAGGTCCGGACCCTAAGAGAAAAGCACAAGGTGTTATTCAAGCCTCGCTGCAGACCAAAATAAACACTTCCGGAAGCCCTGCAGAAATTCAACACACTTGTTTTGTCCTACATTCTCTCCTTTGATCAGATAAATAAACATCACAAACCACCAAACAGCCCTGTCAACTCAACCACTAACGCTACTTTCCGCCTCTTTCTTTGTCCTTCTCCCTTCCTCTGCTTTGTCTGCTTCTGCCAACTTGATGCTGCTGTTCGTTCTTTAACCCTCTGCAACCTGTCGTTCTCGCTTCGTTAGCAGCCAAAATGGACAGTCACCTGGACCACACCCGTCATCGCAGCATCTCTTCGAATCCAAACGAAGGCGCAGCTCTGCCTTGGATCCTGGAACACCTGCTTGCGTATCCCGGAAACTATGAGATCCCCCTTCGAACTATGTACACATTGAATTCGACTTCAATCGCCCAGCCTCCCGCTCTCTCGCCGCCGTTAGTCCCGCCCAGCTCGGCATTCTCTCGCGAAGCTCAGGGCAACGCGTTTCCGGCCGCCAGGACCACCAACGACAAGCAGAATGTGCCGAACGTGTCTGATACTGCCGCGATGTTCAAGGCACAGCTGATGTCCCAGATCTCGCAGTTGCCCTCGCAGCCGTGCTCGCTTCCGCCCACCTTCATTACGTCCTTTGTTCGTCGATGCTTTCCGCCGGTCGTTGAAGAGGTTGACTTTCCTCAGGCTTTGACAGCTTTGGATTACCTTCGGGACCTCGAGAATCGCAGAAGAAAGGGGGTCATGGACGCCTTGCACAGACTGGGCATTACTGGTGCCGAAGGGGAAAAGCAGGATCTTTCAAAGCGCTATCCTGGTGTGCTCACATGGATTGACGCCATGGAATGCAAAGAAAGAGTTGCTGCTGCACTGTATACTCAAGTTTACATACGCCTTCGTCGCTGGGTGAGTGCAAAAGAGATTTACCTGCGTGGCGGAATTCGTCCGCGTCTGCTTTCGACTCTCCTAAGCTGACATTGCTGATTTAGACTTTGATCAACGAAATGCTACTCGAGCCGTTTAACAAGGCTAACTGTATTGCCATGCTCAATACCTTGTTCCCACCGATCGTCGGCACCCCGCCTACTTCTCATCTCAATTCGAAAATCCTCAACGACCAGAGAAACGGCTTCTTTGACCTCATCCTGGATGTTGGAAAGCGGGGAAAGCGGGTTCTTGAGCCAATGATTCAACAGGATATGCGTCCCGGCGATGCTACCGGATGGCCTGTCGCCCAAGAGTATATCGATAAATATCTTCGTGCAGCTACTGCAATCATTGACGAATGCGCTGACGTTACAAGCCGACAATATTTCGAGGAGCCACCATTCGAAAGGAAACACAAGGGAAGAAAGATTGATTCCGGGATCAGTTTTATGTCTGTCGACAGACCATCCACAAGCAGCAGCATCACTAGCCACAATAGCAAGCTCCTCAACAAACCGCTTCCCCAGTCTCCCACCTCAGCTAAGTCCAAACATGGCGGAACAACACTGGAAAGAATTGCCAAAGAAATTCGCAAGATCAAATCGCGTGGTGACCTGGGGGAGTCGGCAAAGGAAGAAAAGAAGGCCTCCAAGGGCCTCAAAAAAATGCGATCCGGTCTCCTCAAGGACAAAGAGAAGCGTCACTCCGGCAGTTCGGACAGTGATCCGCCTTTTGATCCAGAAGAGTTCAAACAGCGCAGAATGGAGTGGGAGGCGAAGAATGCCGACAAGCTCGAACATGCCCGTCGGATCAGCAATTCATGAGCGAAACACGATTCACTTCAGGAAATGAGTATTATGAGTATATGATGATATCGGCGTTTTTCGGAGTCTTCCAACAAAATCTTCATGCTCGACCTTTTTCTTTTTATCGTACGCGTTGTTTCATTTTGAATTGTATTTTGGTGAGGAACTGTTGAGTTATCCGCCGTTCAATAAGCCCACTGCAAATGCTGTTTACGGAGAAATCTGGCGCACGGTATCGGATTGAATATCACCTCGAAGATGGATGTGGCTCTCACGAGCGTTAAAAAAAAAAAAAAAAAAAAAAAAAAAAAGGCAAAGCAAAACTGTTTCCTTTTGGGCGCTTTCGCTGACGGCGATGAGTGGTCTGCGTTTCCTTTACTGCCACTGCGTACGCCTTATTTTGAGGTTCCCCACTTCATCTTTCTTCGTTTGGATTCTGGCACATTGTATGAAACCCTTATTCCACCATGTTTTATTGTCTGTTCGTTAAAGAGGTCTGTTACCGAGCTACCTGTGATGACTTGAGATGCCGATGTCGATGTATCTTTGATATGTCTGCAGTGTGAATGATACGTGAATGATTCGCTTGATGAACCTTCTTTAAACAATGTAGCCTAGATCTGATGCGCTTTTACCAATATTCCCGTATTCCAGTGTTATATGTCGCGTGCGGTGTGATGATTTCCGTCGTCCTCTTGATCACAAGCGTGAGAGATGACTACGGTACACCATTAATACCCAAAGTGCTGACCGAAACCGACATGTGGCCGGAACAGACGCCAGGTGCTCCCATAACAGTTGACAGTCGCTTCATGTCCAGCCTCGCTGTCGGAAGCGCGATTTTAGGAAGTGTGGCGGGCTAGGTAGCTTACAACACATTCCGTCACTTCAATTACGAACACTAGGTCTCTTATCGAATATGAATTGTCCCTCAAAATCAGTGAATGTTGTGCCCTTCTGATCTCGCGGGCTTATCAAACTTGCTCCTGGTGAGCCCAACTTGAGCTTTGTCCTAGCTACCTATGAAATAAGTCTGGACGTAGACGACACTGGCACATTATGCCATTTAAGGCAGCCTCGTTACCATGGCAATTGGGCCTCTTTCTGGGAGCGCTATTGCTTCCCCCTGCTGTCCAGGCAAGCCGTTCGGTGAACGTGGCCTTGAGCGCTTCGTTTAGCTCTCCACCGTATCTTCTGGAGTTATTGTAGGTATATCCTCTTGAAGCTTACTCCCCGAGCGAAGATGTAGCAAAGGGACGTCGAATAATAATCTAACTGACGACAGGGAGACAGCCGCCGAAGAAAACTCCACCAGCTATTTCCCCCTCCTTGACCGTATCGCAGACGGAGCCTTTGCGGAATCTCGGACGGATAAGGACTTATACGACCAATTTCTACGTGTCTTGCGGGATGAAGGACATATACGTGATCCGGATGCGTTGTCGTCGTTTAAGCTCGCCATGTCGCTTCGCTCGACGGCACCAAGAATACAAGCACATTACCAGTACTATAATACCTCTGTAGAGCAATCGTTGATGGTCGTTCAGGATGCGGTGTGTCAGGTCTGGGCGCATTATGGTGGAGAGCAGCATTGCTCGCCGAGCTTGAAGCATGCACAGCAAAGTGTTTCTGGAGACCAGTGCGTGAGTTCGGGAGTTTGAGTAGTGTATTAATGAACAATGCTGATGGATTTTTTTTTGCTTTGATATTAGGGATGATCATGTTTTACCTTTTGATCGTGTGCTCGGCCGTGGTGATCAACCGCTGGTTCTGTATGCTGATATCTCCTCTCCTCTGTTTGGTGATTTTCATAAGGAGTTAAGCAAAAGGGCTGTGGAGGGAGAGTTTTCCTACAGAGTGCGATACCGTCCCTCTTCGTTGGGCCATGCCAACCGGCTCTTTGTGAGTGGCTATGGCGTCGAACTCGCCTTGAAACGGACGGATTATATTGTAATCGATGATCGAGATGCGGAGCAGAGTAGTTCTAGCTCGAGTTCAAGCTCAGAGAAAGCGAAGGCTACGCACGGAACCGCTAAGGACTTGAAGGAAGAGTCTCCGGCTGACTTGAAGCCTTTGTCTGCATCGGAAGTCTCGACACTTGGAATCAATGCCGCCAGTTTTATTATGAACAGCGAGGATCCGTTCGAGACGCTGTTGAAGCTATCTCAGGATTTCCCCCGTCACTCCTCTATTATTGCGAATACCAACGCTACTATTGAATTTCTTGTTGAATTGGCGAATAACCAGGCACATATGCTCCCCGCCGGCTATAACGTCATGTGGATCAACGGCGTTCAATTGGATCCTCGCCGAACTAATGCATTCTCACTGCTGAACCATTTACGCTATGAACGGAAGGTGATTAACAATTTTCGTGAGCTTGACCTATCTGCTGGGGATGTCGTGAGATTACTCGCTCATCCGGTCGTCGCGAGATCTCAGGCGATTGAGGAAGCCCCACGGTACGACTACAGGGACGAGACAGAAGGTGGGGGTGTGATTATCTGGCTCAATGACCTGGAGAAGGATAGGAGATATTCGAACTGGTCTCGTGGATTGGCTGCGGTATGGGTACTCTTTTGAACACGCTGTTCCTCCCTTACTGATTGCTTTTCTAGCTTCTTCAGCGAACGTATCCAGGTCAATTCCCTCAAGCCCGCCGCGATGTTAATAATGTAATCGTTCTTTTAAACTTGGCCGATCGGACAGACCTACGGATGCTTGTGTCGCAGCTTCAAATGTTTATTACTAGAAAGATACCTATTAGATTTGGGATGGTTCCCACATTACCGGATGAAGCGTCCATGCAGCAGATCAGGGTTGCATCTTACTTGCACCAAACATATGGTTTGAAAACTCTTTTGACATACTTTGAAAATGTAAGTTTTGTCAATTCTGATACTTCTCTCCGCTGCTTATATTTATTGGGTGCAATTCTAGGCATTGGAGGGGGCCAAGAGTCAGATAGTCTGGCCGAGCAAGGACAGCTTCAACGCTGCGGTTCAAGACCGTGAACATCACGCGGACCGACCTAAGTTGACTTTTGAGGAAATCTTATCCTCTGATCACTTCGAACCAATTATCACAAAAACAAAGGCGTACCTAAAAAGATTATCTTCTGATGGCCCGAACCCGCCGATGTTCGTGAATGGAGCTATAATTCCTCGGGATGAACACTGGATGCAACCTTTGGTTACCAGATTAGCCCAGGATTTGGAGGAGATACAACAAGCAATTTATGGGGGGCTTTATGATGACGATTCCTGGCTTCCCATTCATTTCCTTGATGGAGCTGTGTTGACCCGGAATCCGTTGATCATACCAGAGGACCCTGGTGCAGTCCAAATCCGGGACTTACACGCCGCATTTAAGAGCCGTCGATCCGCATTTGATGCCCTTCCGCGGATTAGAGCATCTAGCGATTCGAATTTGGAGAATTGGAGCAGCTTGATATTGATTGCCGATTTTGACAGCGAAGGTGGAATAAAACAGTTGGGTTCCGTGCTTGAGTTTCGTGAAAAGAATCCGGGGATTGAAGTCCTTCTTCTCCACGATTCCCACCTAGATTTTTCTGGTCGTGTTTCGGCTGAACTTTTCAATCTTATGAAAGAGAGCCGGGATGTGGATGTGTCTGCGCTAAAATCCATTTTAGAGGTTGGCTCTGAACGACTCCTCACCCAAGAACCTGACGTGGAGCGGCGTCGCAATTATTTTTCGTCTTTCTCACCGCTGGCGAGAGAGCTAGGAAGCAACCAAGGTGGTGTTGACATTGTGTTCAATGGAAGGCTTATTGGCCCAATTCCCTCTTCATCACTTTTTGGTGTCCAAGAATTGGAACAACTTCTAGCTTATGAGCGACAGAGGCGGCTAGAACCACTTTTCGGAGCCGTTAAATCGTTGGAGCTCAAGGATGTGGTCGACGGTCCGTTTAAACTTGCGAGGTTGACCTCTCTTGTTGCCCGTTCCACGAAACTAGATATTCCAGAGGATATCTACGATAGCGGGCCCGCCTTACGCACCAACTCTTACGAAAAGTGGAGTACGGAGCACTCCGGCTTTATGTTATCTCACGCAGACGATCCTGTGATCCAAGTCGTTGCTGTCATTGATCCTGCATCGGAAGCCGCCCAGCGCTATATTCCTATCCTGAAGGTCCTCTCTAAACTTTCAGGAGTTTCGGTGAAAGTAATCCTCAGTCCAATCCAGCCATTGAAAGAATTGCCTATCAAGCGGTTCTATCGACAAGTTTTCGAATCGGAGCCATCGTTCAACGATGATGGTTCCTTGCGGAGACCGGAGGCATCTTTTACAAGTATACCGGAAGATGCACTCTTAACGTTAGGCATGGACGTCGCTCCGTCTTGGTTGGTTGCACCAAAAGAGTCCGTTTATGACCTGGATAATATAAAACTAAGCTCCCTGAGGGAGGGTGCAAATGTTGACGCTGTATATGAACTCGAGCACATTTTGATCGAGGGACACTCAAGAGATGTGACACATGGAAGCCCTCCTCGAGGGGTTCAACTTCTCCTGGGAACGGAGAAAACCCCACATTTTGCCGATACAATCATCATGGCGAACTTGGGTTACTTCCAATTCAAGGCCCAGCCTGGATGTTGGCGAATTACCTTGAAGCCAGGACCAAGCGAACGCATTTACCAGTTGGATAGTGTTGGTGGTATGGGGTATGTTCCGAAGCCTGGCGATGAGACAAACGAGGTTGCCTTGTTGTCCTTCCAGGGCACAACTCTTTTCCCACGACTATCGCGGAAGCCCGGCCACGAAGAGGACGACGTTCTGGAAGCCGGGTCGAAAGCGGGATCTGTTAAAAATTACTTTTCAAAAGGTCTCAACTTTGCGTCTGATGTGATTTCTAGCATAACTGGGTCACAGAAAGAGAAGCACGCAGATATAAACATCTTTTCAGTCGCCAGCGGTCACTTGTACGAGCGAATGTTGAATATTATGATGGTGTCGGTAATGCGGCATACGAAGCACTCGGTCAAGTTTTGGTTCATTGAGCAGTTCCTGTCACCGTCATTCAAATCTTTTCTCCCACATTTGGCGAAGGAATATGGATTCTCGTACGAAATGGTTACCTATAAGTGGCCTCATTGGCTTCGTTCACAACGGGAGAAGCAGCGAGAGATTTGGGGCTATAAGATATTGTTTTTGGATGTGCTCTTCCCACTTTCTCTGGATAAAGTTATTTTCGTGGATGCAGACCAAATTGTCCGGACAGACATGTACGACCTAATCACTATGGATCTCGACGGGGCACCATACGGGTTCACACCCATGTGCGACTCGCGGACAGAAATGGAAGGCTTCCGCTTCTGGAAGCAAGGTTACTGGAAGAAGTTCCTCAAAGGCCTTCCATACCACATCTCTGCACTCTACGTGGTTGATCTCAACCGTTTCCGTGAACTCGCTGCTGGTGACCGGCTCCGAGGACAGTATCAATCTCTCTCAGCTGATCCAAACAGCCTAGCCAATCTGGACCAGGACCTACCGAACCATATGCAGCATGCTATTCCGATCAAGAGTCTGTCGCAGGACTGGCTATGGTGTGAAACATGGTGCTCAGATGAGGCATTGAAGACGGCAAGAACAATTGATTTGTGTAATAATCCGATGACGAAGGAGCCAAAGTTGGAGAGGGCGAGGAGACAGGTGCCGGAGTGGACGGAATACGATGACGAGATTGCGGAATTGGGGAGAAGGGTTGCAAGGGAGCAGGGGCAGGCAGGGGATGAGAAGAATGAGAAAATGAGGGAGAGAGATGAGTTGTAGACTTGACTTTATTGGCCTGTATGTTAATAGATGTTTGGTTTATGCTCTTTGGTTGTTCGATTTAGGATTGCATAGAAAGTTTCTATTCCATTGAGAGTTGGCACCTCTTTTTATGTTCGACGAGCCTGTTTTCTTATTTCCCTCAATAGTGACTGATTCGCTGGGCCCAAACACACTAAAGTAAGGGGGACAAACAAAAGGAAACAAGCTTTCACAGGCCCCTTGCCTCTGTGTTGAGGTGACTATGACCCCCGACCCGGGCCTCCCTCTCTATGTGTGGAAATGGCGTCTGGAGTCTCTAGTGACCAAAATATCCCCACCCCAGCCGGTAACAGCGTGATTTTAAACTTATTCGGCTAGGCGAGCCTCTCATAACGAAGTCCTGGGGGCACTGAGCCCCTTCTTTTCGGTTCGATGCACTGGGGCAAATGGAAGAGATGGCCCCTTCTCGACCTAACGAACATCGTGTAGAGACCTCCTCCGGTGAAGACGGCCACGCAGCTCATCAACACGGGCCATTGGAACTGCTCTGGCCGTGAGAAAATAATTGTCGTAGCATACGAACAAAGTTCAAAGGTGCTCTGCCATGATGCTTCCATCGAAGAGAAAGAGCCTCTGTGGTCAGGTTCAACTTCCTTGAGGGATATGTTAGCGGAGGGCTCTAATTGGGTAAGTTAAATCAGGTATAAATGCAGCCTTACCTCTTGCACTATAATCTGCGCCGAGAGATCAAACCCCCAGAGTCCTACACGGCTAGAAATTGAACCGCAAACAAGGCAGGTGGCAGCCATAATTTCAGATCTGATCTCCCAGAAGCCACTTGCTGCGGCTGCCAAGGACAGCATTTGCCAGCTTAGGAACCATATTCCCGCTCGAATCGGACCAATTTTTGACATGACAGCTGGGGCGATCCATGTAGCTGATATTTCAAACGCGACTGATACTGTCCTCGCGATACCGATGTGAAACGAGTTATAGCCGATGGAGAGGAGGTATGTTACCATTTGTCCTGAAAAGGATAGCACGGTGAAGTAAAGTAGAGCGCAGGAAAAGGATGGTAGGAAGGCTCGGTGTCGGAAGTAAAATTTCAGGTCTCGCAGTACGGTAAGAGGTGCTCTAAGACACCGCCGTCCGCGCTGAGCGTCACTAGCCCCTGTGTCCTCCACTGTCGATCTGTTTGGTGCGTGTAGTGCTGGGACCATCTGATAGACCTGGATGGCATGGTTAGCATGCTTTCCAGGCGACAAGTACTGACCAATAACGGACCTTTGCGATAGCGTAGTATTCGACCGAAATTGATAGAAGATTCATTCCTAAGTTTACTAGGATCGCAACTTGGGTTGAGACTCCGTCGATAAGGGCTATAAAAAATGGTCCTGCTAGCTTGCAGATCAAGTCGATGCGGCGCATCTGCGCATTGAGAGCTGATCGTACTGTGAGTCCTTTGGAAACAGAAGAAAGGGGGCCTGTAAATTACCTCGTAACGATGGCTCACTACCCTGAGCAATGATAACAACCTGTTATGATTGCATATCAGCATGCTTTCATGGGTAGAAGTTCCGTTCCGGTGCGCAACCCAGTCTCGTTCAACAGATATAAGATTCATAATGGCACAAAGCTTCTCAACACACGCCAACACCGTAAGGAGCGCCATTAGCCATGACTTCGATGCGCTCCCGGATGTCTCTTCCGTCGCTAAGATCCAAAACACAACGCAGGAAGCTGCCACAGCTATTCGCTGAAGGACTATACGAAAGATAGTTCAGACCTTGGGCAGTATTCTATGGACCGAAGGACGTACCAACTGAGAGCCTCACGACCTGCAGTCGCTCACCGGTATCGATATAATGACCAATCGCTGGGGAAAATACAATCGCCGAAGCACCACGAGCCAGTGCGTAGACTGACATCGGCAACAAGGTATTGGGGAAGATGGATGCTAGATACAACACAGCACCAAACTCAAACACGCGGGAATTACATGTTGAGAGAAAGTGAGATATGTAGAGGCGACGCTCTACTGATGGGGATATGTCTTTCCCAGGGCCTTCAGAGCCATCTGAGCCCGAAAGCAATGGGGCTTCCGCAGAGACCGAATCCGACGAATTCGAATTCATCCTGTCTGGTGTGAGCACTGGCTTTGAGAGAGAAAGGGGCACCATTGCATACTAATATATAATTCCATCGATTAGAGATCGAGGTTAACTTTGCATCTTCCGATCTCTTCCACGTTCACTAATAACAAGGTACTCAGCGAGCCGTCTCTTCACCTCCACCATGGTTCGCTGTTGAGATCGGGATAAGCGGGGAAGAGCAGGTCGAGACCATTTTTAGATCGTCGATTTTCTTCTTTTTCCCCAATGTCTTCTTTTGTTGATGCCATGTGCTTGTCGGATGATGTTTCGGTGGTGTCCACGAGATGTTGTGTGCTTTGACCACGGCGAGGTCAACCAGACATAACCACCAAAAAGCAATGCTGGCAGAGAGTCCCGGCTGAACGTAGCAGAGCGTGCAGCAAGGGAACTTTAGGCTTTTTTGAAATCCAAACTCTCCTCCATACAGAGCTGATTCTCAAAGATTTCCAGACGGCCACATAGCTCCACACAGCTTAACTCCAAACCCTCACTGACTTCGGAAGGCAGAAACTCAAATCACCAGCACCAAATGGCCGCGGCGCAGTCAGACACCATCATGCTCTGCTCCTCGCGAGCTCTTGTCTCTGGCCGTCTGTGCCCCGCTACCATCACCGTCTCCCGCGCCACCGGTAAGATCACTGCCATTCACTCTTCTATCTTATCACCAGCTCTCTTTCCTCCCAATACCCCTTACATTGACTTCTCACCCTACATCCTCCTTCCTGGTCTTGTGGATGCGCATGTACATCTTAATGAGCCAGGGCGCACGGAATGGGAAGGATTCTACACGGGCACGCAGGCTGCTGCGTTTGGCGGGGTTACCACCGTGATTGACATGCCGCTGAATAGTATTCCACCCACAACTAGTGTGGGAGGGCTGGAAGAGAAGATTGTAGCGGCAGAGGAGCAGGTGTGGGTTGACGTAGGGTTCTACGGGGGAGTGGTCCCAGGAAATGTTGGCAAAGGGGAGTTGAAAAGACTGGTTAGGAGAGGTGTGAGAGGGTTTAAGGGGTTTTTGATCGATAGTGGAGTAGGTTTTGGGCGATATTTTTCTGTTTGGCTGAGATCCGAATCACTGACGTGTATTTCAGGTTGAGGAATTTCCTGCAATTAAGCCTAGTGATATCAAAGAGGCCCTGATGGAATTGGCAGACGAGAAGACAACGCTCATGTTCCATGCAGAAATGATTCCCCCAGGGACGTTTGAGGAAGAGATCGACATGCAGATTTTGGTCCAAAAATCATCGAATGCATACTCAACGTTCCTCTCCTCTCGACCCCCAGTGTTCGAAACATGTGCCATGGAACAAATTCTCTCTCTTTCGCAGCTTGCGCCAGATTTGCCTCTCCACATCGTTCATCTCTCTGCCGCGCAAGCAATTCCTCTTCTGCGCGAAGCTAGAAAAAGGGGGGTCAAAATTACTGCGGAAACGTGCTTCCATTACCTCACCATGGCGGCGGAAAATATCCCAGACGGAGACACGAGATATAAATGCTGTCCACCGATCCGCGAGCAAGCGAACCAAGACGAGCTATGGCAGGAATTATTCCGACACGAGTCTGACGACGGTGTCATCAAAACAGTCGTATCTGATCATTCGCCCTGCACGCCTGACCTGAAAATTCTCCCTGGGCATATACCCAGCAGTGCCCCACCAACAAAAAAGGAGCAAAACGCTAATGAAAATGAAAGTGAAAGCCTAGGCGACTTCCTCGCCGCATGGGGAGGAATCTCATCCGTCGGTCTTGGGCTTTCAATTCTCTGGACAGGGTTAAATCGTCGATATCCCGACGTGTCAACAGCACATCCCTCGGGAAGATTGTTACTTGAACATGTAGTCCAATGGTGCTGTATTAACCCTGCTACACAGGTGGGATTGAAAGGCCAAAAGGGTGACTTGGCCGTGGGATACGATGCAGATATCTGTGTGTTTGACGATGAAGCGGAATGGACTGTGGAACCTGACACGATGCTGTTTCGGAACAAGTGCTCGCCGTACCAGGGGAAGAGGCTCAGGGGGGTGGTGAGAGAGACGTGGCTCAGAGGCCAACGGGTGTTTAGTCGCGATGAAGGGTTTGGCGATGGGAAACCGCAGGGAAAGCTTTTGCTATAGCCTCGCGGGGTGACGCTTGATTCAAGCAGAAACCTAGCGTCACAGCTTGGACCTCTCAGGAAGCTCTTCGTCGGATGACAAACATAAAAGTGGCGCGCGTGGCCAAGCGGTAAGGCGTCGCACTCGTACCATCATGACATGCGGAAATCGCCGGTTCGAATCCGGTCGTGCGCACTTTTTTTTTTAAAAAAACCCACTCGAGCAAGCGAGCAACGAAGAATTATTTTTCTACTGTTGAATCAACATTAAGCTTTCTGGCTCTTAAATATTCTCTCCGTGCGATAAACCCAATGCACCCTTGGTCATTTGTTCAACTTGAAATATACATACACTATCAATGCAAGCATCAAATGAGCAATGCACTTTTCAAGATGAGCCTTCTCGAAATAACCCCCAAAGAGCACACAAATAAAGAAATTGGGTATAATATACATGCAAATCTAACGCTTAAATCAATAGTATCATCTGTAACGGCATCGGCAAATGAGACCAAATGCCTTGACCAACGGGACATCTGTGCTCAGATCTATGCCCAAGAGCCATAGCACCTAGAATCAGTAGATATTCGTTCATTTCTCTTCCAGATCCTGCTTCTCCTTCCATCTTTCCCTAACCCTCCTCCTCACGCCTCCATTGACTCCCTTTCCCCAAATTTCTTCCTTCTCGCGGTCTTCATCTTGTAATGGCCCAGCATCTACATCCTTCTTTCGCGAGCCTACACCAACTTCCCCGATAACGGTCTTCTTCTCCACTATTCTCTTTTCCTTCTTCTTTGCCATATCAACCTTTCTCAAGTATGCCGCGTAAACGCCCACTTCCGCTATCCCAACAACCACCGCTGCCAGGAGGGATATAAACACTCTGCTGGGCTGGGAATAAACAGATCCGGGGTAGTTGTGCGCATATGCACTGTTAGAACTCGAGAATGAGAAGATGGTGGAGAGAAATTGTGGAGTGCGAAAGTTCGTTAGCGCCCAGTATGTCGCGAATCCAGTGAAGAGAATCGATACGAGGATGTTGAGGACTAGGGAAGGAGTGAGCGCGTCATCGTCGGTGTTGGCCGGGTGTTCATCTGTGGGTGAGGAATGCGAAAAGATCGGTGATGGTTGGCGATTTAACTGGGACGCCGATGGGCGATGTAGGTAGGCATGATATTCTTTGGCCTGGGCTTCGGCTTCAAGACGGGCCTTCAGGGCGAGATATTCGGGGGTCTGGAGAGACATGATCAGTATTTTGTTTTTTACTTTTATCTCTTTTGATGGGAAATGTTCTTTTCCGTCACATACCGGTGCAGGTTTGGGCGGTGGAGGAGGTATGTACAGCTTCGCGCCGCGGAGGAGGCAATTGAGAGAATAGGCACGCGAGGGTTCATGCCTAGTTGTTGAATCTAGTCCTTTTGAATCTGTAGAAGAGAGTTTGCGTGAGAGGGTAATTAGCTGCGAGTGGGAGATGGCTTCGTTCAATGCTGGAGCCGGTAGGGAGAGGTCGTCGCGGATGGACTGGGGGATCGACTCGAGGGCGGACAAGATCGCGGGTGTGATGATCAGGAGGACCATCTTGCTTGGCCACGAAGCATTTCTGCTCACAATACTCCGTACAGGCTATAGCAGAGGGGGTCTTCCAAGGAGGTTCAAATTATCTAGCTTGCTTGTCCAGTTCGAAGCTCGTCTTAGTCATGAGTTTATTCAGCTGAGAGGTGACGATCTGGTAGATATCCGGCCTCTTGCTTCCTCCCCTTTCACCGAAGCGCAATCGACCATTCATGGGAAGTATAGCTCAAAAGAGTATCGCTATTCTGCTTCGTCCTTCCGTTGAGATGATGATTAAATTATATTCGGTACGAGGTAGACCGGGAAGCCCCGGTTTACAACGCTGCGAGCGACTTCTTCGCCTTCGTGTCTGGTTCCACGCGTGGTTTCAGATATCATCTTTCGATCCGGATAGACGGTCGTACTAGACTCTCAGGCAGCTAAATTCTTAAAGCGCAGCTACAATGCTTACTTTCCCGTCCTCTTTTCGGGTCTTAAACGCAGGGAATGGAAAAGGTATAAACCCCAGCAACAACCCTACGAGTAGTACGAAACGAGGCTACCACGAGGAGAATACACGCGACATTGGTCAGCAATGTCTTTTCGGTTGACAGATTCGCCTTGCTCTCCTGATGCCTGTAATTGTGCGGCATTACACCGTTGAGGTTCTTGCCGGAAGCAAGAATCATCACTGGCACACAAGGAGGAGCAGGTGGCCTTAATACCCGGCGTGTACATAATTACCGATGAAGATTGGAAAAGAAATTGCTCCATCAGAGAATGTCGAGGATGGATACTGAGAGCATTGAATGAGGCATAAGGCTGGCGCTCGTAGTGCCAGCAACGCCGCCAGAACGGTCACCCCCAAAGCTGAAAGCAGGGTCTCGGAGTGACGATCAAAAAGTCTCGCCAGTCATTACTGGACAGACAATACGGAGTTACTGGGGAGAAGACATGGACGATGATTTGTTCGGGTAAGAGAGTGGCGGATGTCGTACACGGAAAGTTACTAGCAATGCAGGCCAAATCTCCCTTGGTTTGCATATCTTCCTCACTTCACTCTCTGTGCGCACGGTTGCGTCCCAAGGCTGTGTGTCCCTTTTAAAATCAAGAGTAATCAGCTAGTTACCCGATATACATCTGAATTTTGCTCGAATGACGATTTACCAATCAATCTTCCTCTTATTCTGGGTTCTACGGGGATGCATTCCTCGACAAATTCCCATTGCCGTTGAGACGAGCTCCTATGCCCCGTCGCCCCTGACCAGGGCTTTCGAAAAAAAGGTCAACTGGTCGCTTGACCATTTTAACGTACCAGGCCTTGCAGTTTCATTCATTACGGCCGACAAGGTCTTCACAAAGGTTAGCTCCTTACGATCTCTACGTATATTCCGTTTAACGTCCCAGTGTCGAGGTATAATGGGCCCCATCTTACTATTGTGTTACAGGGATATGGCGTTTCTGATCTATCCACCTCACGAGCTGTCTCGGAGCATACACTCTTCTTTGGTGGCAGTACAACAAAGGCCTTTACTGCAGCATTGATGGCACTTCTCGTTGACGACGAGAACTATCCCGACATTCACTGGCACACTCCCGTCCATAATATCATTCCAAATGATTTTATTCTTCAGGACCCTTGGGCCACTGCGCAAGTTACCATAGAGGATATGCTGTCGCATCGTTCTGGTATGCCTCGCCATGATTGGGTTTGGTTCGCCAACATGACGCTTCAGCAGGCCGTGTACAAGATGAGGGATCTGCCACTCACGGCACCTATCCGCACCAGCTTCCAGTATTGCAACTTGATGTACATGGCTGCAGCTCATCTTATAGAGACAGTGACTGGGCAACCATTTAAGGACGTCCTGCGTGAACGGATCCTAAAGCCATTAAACATGACTGAAACTTATATTTCCCTCTCTGATGCCAAGGCAGCAGAGGGAGACATCGCTCGCGGATACTTCTTAAACTCGACAGGGCAACTGCAGGACACAGAATTATCGTTCCAAGAAAGTATACGGGGGGCTGGGAATATTATCTCTTCTGCAGCGGATTATTCGAAATGGGTCAATGCTTTAATCCATCATCGTTTGCCACTTTCTCCTCCAGGATATGCAGCGCTTATGGGCGCCCATACGATTATTTCACCGGAGCCAGTTGCACCGGATACGTCGCCATTGCTGTATGGGCTCGGATGGTTTCTGCGAACGTACGCCGGGGAAGTAATAATTCAGCACCCTGGTGGAATAGAAGGATTCGGCAGCTTCGTTTGTTTCCTACCAAAGCGGCGAGTTGGATTTGCCATTCTAGGAAATAATATGATCGGGATGAATGCTGCAGTGATGATGCTTGGAAATCACTTAATCGATGAGATTCTTGAAATCCCAGAGCAACATCGCTTTGACTGGCGAAGAAGGCACGTCTTTCTTTGCGTATCTACTACTGCCTGTTGGTCCTCCACTTGGAATATACATTTTTGGCTGACAGGAAAGAATACTTCACAGGGCAGAGGAAAGCATAAATAACACCAAGATCCCTCCCCAAATACTCCAGAATCTCTATCCACGCATCCCTGATCCTCCCCTTCCACCTCCTGTCATGCTCTCTGCATTCGAGGGTGTCTATACTCATGCTGCTTATCCAACTCTTAATATCACCAGCGAATGCCCCGATCGTTCTTTATTCCCGCCATTATCCGGCAAGCAAAAGTTAGGCCCCCTGAAACTTTGTGCCACACTCTCTAAGAGCGCGTTCGGTGATTCAGCCTTGGTGTTGGAACTCCGACATGTCACGGGTGACTTTTGGATAGTTGGAACACTGATGTACGGTGCGTCTACTGCCATCAAGGCAGAATTCAAACTCAGTCCAGAAGGAACGATAAGCCGTGTTTTGATTGAGATGGAGCCAAATATGGCTTTTGAAGATAAGGGCATATGGTGGGAGAAGAAAGCTTAGGTCAGTGGAGCACTCTCACTTTTTTGATCTTGATATGTAGTTTTGTGACACTTTCTTAGCTTGTAATATTGGGTTAAGATAGGTAGCCCCGCAACATCATGTTATCCTATTCTACCTATGATCTGGGTGGCAATTGCTACTCCATACCAAAGGTAGAGCTTGGGTTTCGTTAGTAGTATACACTGCGGTGACATAGCATACATGACTTCCTAAAAATATATACAGATGCGATAAGCGTTTTGCTTTGGTGATCCTCTCTTTCTCTCTCTCCCCCCTCTTCTTCTTTTTTTTTTTTTTTTTTTGTGGGGTTTAGCTATCCCATCTTGAACATCAAGCGCAGTACCTGGAGGGTCAAGTAAGCAGATGCACAGATGTCAGGTGCTTTTGATTGGTGGTGCTGGCGGGATGTGAGAGATGAAAATTTCATTTTTGTCAACATCAGTTCACGGCCGCCTGAAAGGCTGTTTATAGCACTCTCAAACATTGTTAAAACTATGTTTGCTGACTCCATATCAATCAAGCGACCATCAGCAGTAATTGATATCTCAAGGCGGTCGCCTTTTGGCCGCGCTGATACTTCGATATTAGTCGGTACAGCATACGGCTTTCTGAACCAGTCCAGCTTTGCAACGCTAGAGCTTTCGTCTTCGGACAGGGAAATTTCTGGGGTTTCGTCAATATCATGGTACTGGAGCAGCGAATCAGTTTTAGTCTCAGTTGGCCACTGAGTGCAGTTCTGTACTATGTCCTGAAATCCCAAAGAATCTGCTTCCCCCATGGAAAGGTGCTGGTCCATGACATGATGCAGAAGGTCGGTAGTTGTCCATGCCGGGAAGAAACGGATTCGAACTGGAACGGTGTTCATGCAGGGCCCAGCCACTTCCTGAATCTGAGGAATACTAGCGTTGCGCCCGGCGACGATGAAACCATACACGACATCCATACTTCCGGTAAGGTTCCTAAGGACAAGTGACCAAGCGGAGCTCACAAGGGATGCAACAGTGATTCCTTTTGGTGAAATGGGCATTGGGAGAGTTTTTCCAATATGGGTTTTGAGCGTCTCCGCTTGTGGCGAGCGGTGTGCTGCTAATGTCGTGGAAATCTGGGCCATTCTTGATCCCTGAAGGAGTTCAGTCCAATACTTGCGCGACTGGGCGGCTCGTTCGAGTATATACGATACATAGCTGGAGAAGCTCAAAGTTGGACTCAACGACAATCCCAAATAGGCTTCCCTAAAGCACTTTAGGATAAGAGGCCACGACATGCCATCATATTGAGCGTGAGAAATGCGGAAAATGAGTCGAGACCCCGAATATGTATGCCGAATGAGCGTAAGCGACCAAAAGAGTGAACCAGGGTTGACTCCGTTTTCTAGATCCTTAAGACAGAACGCATCACTTGCTTGGCACAAGTCTTCCTCGGCGTCACGAACTTGAAGGACTGTCTTGAGTTTGCGGAGGATGATTTGATATGTCTTGCCACAAAATAAGACAAATATTGTGCGTAATATAGAGAAATGATCAGTTATGTCATAGCAAGCTTTGTTCAGACGGTTCAAGCAAAGGTCGTCCTTGAAATCAAGATAAAAGTAATTAAGGGCCTCTTGGGAGGATTCGGATGCACGCGCGACATAAAATGCCTGTACATCAGTGGCTGGGAGGACATTTTCGATGTTAGAAACATCTCTGGCGTAAGGGCCAGGCTGTGTAAGTGATATGATGTGCTTCAGGTTTCCTGTGTCGAAATGGACAAATGGCTCGGCGACAAGGGGTTCTAATGTCGGGGTAGATGAAGATCTAGCCATTCTACCCAGCTCATCAATATGAGGATGGCGGAATATGTCTGCCACGGTTAATATGATACCGGTCTTCCGCGCGGCCGCGACCACTTTCATGGCCGAGACAGAATCTCCACCAAGACGAAAAAAACTACTGTCCAAACTGATTTGGTCCTTATCAACATTTAGCACAGTGGCCCATAACTGTTGCAGCTGCAGCTCTATCTTAGTTGAAGGCGACCGCCTATCTTGACCATGTTCATTGTTCGTCTGTGCGAGTTGTTCAGCTGAG